GGTCTTGTTTGTTGTTGTTTTTTAACAAGGCAGCTTCTTTCAATTACTTTTTTTTTTTTTAAAAAAAAAGCATAGTTGTGTTGGGGTAAGTTTTAACTGCTATTAGACGTAGTTGGCATAAGCTGACTTTAGATCTGCCAGTTCTTTTGGTTTTGTTTTGCTTTAGTCACTAAGAACCTCTCGAAGTGCAAGAGTGAATTATCACATTATAGTCTTGTGTCTTGTATGACATAAATACAACTAAGGCTAAAGATCATCTTGTCAGAATAAATGTTACCCAAGTTAGAACTATAGGATACTTTGAATAGGTGTGTTGCTATTTTAAAGAAGTGTTCTGAGTGGAAGAATACAAAAAACTTATGAGTGGGTGGATAGCTTTAGAAAGTGTTTCTTGTGAGATGTTGACAACTTAAAAACGAATAGGTTTAAAATACCTAGTGTAAATGCATTGTAACACTGTGGGGTGTGTTTGGTTTGGGTTTTGGGTTGGTTTTTGGTTTTGGTGGTTCGTTTTGTTTGTTGGTTGGGTTTTTTTTAATTGATGAATAGTAAACTGGTTTAAAATTTCCAGGTAGTATATAAAAGAGCTTGTGAACTACACAAATACATGTGTGCTTTTTAAATTTTTTTATCTGGAATGCTGGAAGATGGGAGGTCTCTCTCTTTCAGTGTTCCAGATAGATTACTGCAATCTGTATTTGAAAATACAGGTACGTGTACAACATACGTTCTAATAACACTCCAGGATTACTTAGCTCTGTGTTCATTTTTTTTTATGTTTTCAGTAGTGAGACATGGACTAACTATAGCTTGTGACAGTCTTTATTATACAAATATAAAAAAAGATATAGAGTTATTTTTCAGTAAATAACTAGTTAATGAGACTTCATGCAAATGTAGTATCCAGTCTGCATGTTCATTTCTTGACAGTTTGTAGTTCTAACTAATTATTTAAACTCAGTTATTTGTTTTCTCTATGATATAGCTTAAACAAAGGTAATACTTCTTTGCTTTCCATGTGAAAAGCAGAATGTGTATGCAGTATTGAATTCTGTGCCTTCTGAGTTACTAAAGGAATTTATCTTCTAATACTAGATTTTTATTTTGACCTGAAGAATTGCTGGAGAGGTCTGTTTAACTCGGTGTTTTCCTTAAGTTCATTGTAAAGGGAAAGTTGTAGTTTAGAAATTCAGGAAAAGCGGCCTGTTTGACAGGAACATCTGTAGGTAGGGTAGTTCATTACAGCTTCTTTGCAAGCAAGTTAGATTTATATGTAAACTGCTGTAATTAGTATCTTTGGATTCTTTTAAATATAAGTCAACTAGCCATTATTATTCCCTTATGGTATTAAAGATACTAAATATTGCCTGCAAACTGTTTGCTCTACTTCTGTTGACTTGTTAAAGTGAGGCAATGTGACTGTTTCCTTCATAATCTTTCTTGCTTGCACTTAACAGAGGTGATGCTATAGTCTGTATACCAGTCAGAGAATCAGATGATGTTTCTAAGAGAAAATCAAGTGAATTAATATTGTTAAATTCAGCTTCTGTTGTATTAAAGCAGAAAATTAGGTATGTAATTTTAGTATTAACAGATCGTTAGAGAGTGGTCTCTATTGTTATGGCTCAACACATTTGCTTCTCTACTCGGCTTAAGCTTGAAATGCAGGTACTACGAAAAGCTAAAGAGCTAGTCTGAAACCAACCAGTATGGGATTGAAATAGTCAGAAGGGAGAAATGCTTTGAAGAACTGTCTGGTCCACTCTCCTTTCTCTCCATTGATGTCCTCTTTTGTCCCAAGTGCTTAAAAAGCCTTGAAGTATTTACACTCTGCAGTTAGTTAAGTTGACTCTGTATCAGTATATTGAAATCAAACATTTTCTAGCTTCAGTGTTCCAACATACTGCACAGTGTCTTCGTAGGTAGGAGGCTTGCATACTCACTTCTTGCGTGTAACTGGGTTAATTTATGGCCTTCAGAAGTTATGATGGAAACCATGACTTTTCTGCTTGGGCAGAAGAGGCACTAGTATGAGCATAGTGATCTGTTTCCGCGGTAAGTTAGGATGTCTTAAGCATATTGTCTGCCATCTAGATTCAGCAATTATAGTAGCACCTTCATCTGTGACCCTTAAGATTGTTGTGTACTCTCTGTTATTTCATATCCCAGGTTAAGGAATAGTGTGTTACCTCAAAGTAGATATTGCATCCAAATTCTAGAAGACTAGATGTCTGATTGGCTTGTCGTAAGAGCAAGCTGTAGAGCCATTGTTTTTGGCAAACTTTCCACAATAATGAAACAAGTAGGGATAAATGAGAATAATACCTTGCTTGTCTCATTTAATTTTGTCAGGTTGGAGGAAGTGAGCAAAGAACTTGAAAAACTATTAAGTGATTGTGTTTGACCCTGCTGTTTTCGAGGTGAGAGGCAAGCCTGAAAGATCAATTAGAAAATACATAGAGAATACAAACATAAAGTTGAAATCTTTGCATAGCACGTTTAATTGGTTTTGTGGTGTGTCAGCATGCCAGCATCTGTTTTAGAAACCATATGCTACTAAGCAACTCAAGTAAAATGTTCTTCTACTCTTGGCTATTATATGCAGCTCTATAGCTAGGTTGGGATATTTCTCAGGAAATGGGATAGACTGAATTGATAGGATCGGGAAGACATTTGGTATAAGCTGTTAACAGCTTTCTTGTTTATGGTATGGTTCTTCACACAATATTGGGGAAAAATATCTGTTACTGTAAAATACAAGGCTCTTCATGACCTTTGTTTATTTCTGTAAAGTGCCAAGAAGCATGTTTGAAGTGGTATAAGTGATTTGGAGTGGGTGAAAAAGTTCCCGAATAATGCTTTGACTGTTCTTTCTTCTCTGTATAGTCATCCCCTAATCCTCTCAAAGGGATGTGTCTTCTCCTCTTCCATGGGACTTAAACTTCAAATGCTTAGTGACAAAATCTATGGAATGTATTGCATGCTGGCAGTGGAAAAGAATACCAAAAGTGTGCAACTGTATGGAACTGTGGAGGTGTAATAGTCTTGTGGAGTGATGGTATGCTTTGTTAGGCATGTTGGCAAAATGGCAAAAAAGAGCACCTATGAAATCAGTAGTGAGGATTTGGTTGAAGACACGAAGGGGGGTGGAGCTGAGTAAAAATCAGGTATTCTGCACAAGCAGAAACTGCCCCATAGTGAGATCTAAGGGTTAGTTTCCTTGGAGGAAGTTCTAAGAACATTCCTATTTCATTTTGAAAGAGATACGCAATTTAGACTCTATTTTGAATCATCTGCAAGGAGATGGAGTATATGGCCTAGTGGTCTCCATCCTGTGTCTTCTGGAAAACATAGGCCCGCTCTTACCAGTTGTGTGAAAATGTAGTTTTAAACATGAGCAAAACTTTAAAGCCTTTTTTATGATGACCAGGCAGGTCCTGGAAAGGGCCCTGTGATTTCCAGTTTGGTAACAAAGCATATTAGGGATTGAGGATGTAAACTTCAAATTTTTTTTTTGGTAGTGAAAACTAGTGAACTAGTGACTTGTTTCTGAATTTATTAAAAAAGTTATAGAATATAGCAATCCCAGTATTAAAAGGGTCCTCATCGTTACTATGTATCAAGTGAATCCTCCCTGTCTTTTATCCCTGCTATGCCATGGCACAGTCCCCATGTGCACAAGTCTGTCAATGACCATAGACAGAATTTCTAACTGCATCTGAGTGTATAAAGCAAGATTCTGTTGTACAAATTTAACTTCTACTACTTCTACTAGTGAATCTCATTATTTCCCAAACTAGTAGTAGAAAGAAAGATGCTTCTCTGTAAATGTATGTTATACTTCTCTAGAAGAGTGAAGCATAAGACTCTAGTCCCCGGTTAGCTGATGCACATTTCTGACTTGTGGTAGTGCCCTAATTGATAGATTAATCAAAAGCAAGTTAATAAGTAGTGCTTTATACAGTGGCTGTAGTCAATGCTAGTACAGATGTGATTACTTTTTTTTTTTTCCATTTTACTGTAACTGGTTTGAGTGGTTGAGTTAGAGCAGAAAACAAAGGAGTAATAGACACTTCTAAAGTGTCTTGCTACAAATTGATAGTACTTCAATGCTACTTGCACTGTGAAAGGAGTATTAGCAGCTGCCTCTACAGGATGAATTTTTGCATCTTTGTACCAGAGTGGTTATACAGTTAGTGGGTCTTACATAGAAGCTCTAAAAATACAATGCTGTTTGCTTTTATTTTGTGTAAGTATAGTGGAAACCAAGTCTTGTGGGTATTTTGTGGTTTTTTTGGTTGTGCTTTTTAAATTTTTTTCTCTGAGTTACAGTTGAGCAAAAATCATACATAAGGTCTTGGTGAAAAAAATCTTCTGTGAAGCACACTGTAACCTTACCTTTAAAGCAGATGTAGGGCTGTCTTCGTATTCTGTTACTACTTACCATGTACTGCTTTGACCAGTCTCCAATCTAAAGAGCTCAGCTGGAAACTTTAGGCCTGGTTTGAACTACAGTAATTCACATTATTTCTTCTGTTACTGCCTTGACAGACTTGCCAGGTATCCAAGTATCTTCTAAAGCTAACTCTTCTAGAAAATAATAACTAGTGGAATACATTTGTATGAGAAGTATAGTTGCTGTCACCAAACATCTTGTAAAGGGATAAAAGTCTAGAGACTGCTAAAACAAAGCTGTAGTGGTGTCAGGAGCAGGCTCACTTCTGAGTAGGTGGTTTTCCTGCTGATGTTGTAAGTGGCTTGCATCTACAGGAAAACAACTTCCATCTAATGTTGATATTGGTCAGCATGTTCTTTCTTTCTGGCTATTATGAAGGAAGAGTTTGTCACTGCTCATGGCAATTCTGAGGGCTAATAGAATTTTCGTGTTTTTTCCTGCCTCTGAGTGACAGCTATAAAAGTTGGACTCAACTGGCTATGAAGTAGTCAGTTCTTCCTTTTCGCTGTGACAAGCAAGTGTTCATCAAAGGATCCTTCTATGTGTACTTGATGCTGAGGTCTCTGTTACGGCTTCGAACTGCATTTAATGACAAAGGCGTTGTGTGCTGAACATTGTATTTAGATAAAATTTGTCTGATAAGGGAGGTGGTAAAAGTAATACCAGTGAGAAGTCTGTTTCTTGCTGGTCAACATAAAAATCCCTAAATGTGTCTTCATGCTGCTCGCCTTTACTGTAGTGATTAGTGTGCTGTTGTCGTTTTAACAAGTGCTTCAAAATGCTTCAAAGAGGGGAAATGGAGGAAGACTTAAAGGCAAGACAGATAGAAATCCAGTAGTTGATGAAAGATGGTGTAAGGCCACTGTGCAACTTGTTGAGCCCCACAGGTTCTAATAAAAGATAATTGCTGTCATGGCTGTGAATTGATAGTAGCATTCAGTGCATAATTTTAATTAACTGTTACATACTTGTAAAACGTTACAATTCCTTTTAACATTACCGAGTTCTTCCTGTTGCTTTCCCAGTGGTGTTAGAGGGATGCCTTTCCTCACTTTAAAGGGATCTACTCTGCCACTAGATCATGAAAGCTGTGTCTGTAATTCTGTAGCTTTATAGTTTTGGGGCTAAGACTCTCTTCTAGAGTCACTTGTAATCCAAAATCTTATAAATGTCACTGAAAGACCAGTATTGTGTGACTGGGGTCTGAAGTTAAAACTTCACTCTTTCTCAACCCATTATAAAAGTTTGATTGTTTTTATTTCTCAGTAGTTGTGCCAGATGTCGTTGTCTGGAAATAGGTATCATATATATTGTATGATTTCAGTTGTAGTTGGGCACATACTTCTGTTGTTTTTTTCTGTGGCTGTCTGTTCCAGTATCTTCTCCTGCTGTACTTAGGTATTATTTATTTTGAGAGCCAAAAAATAAAAAACCATGACAGGGCTGAACTGAGTACTAGCCACACCTGGCTTGGATGCTCTGTGTGTGGGCTACAAAGTAAAACTGGAATTTTTCACTGAGGCTTTCTACATCACAAAAACCTAATCTTATATAGCAACTTTATTTCAGATACAGTAGGTTATACTGAAAATTACTGTTTCAGATGGGTGGAATGAATTACTGTAAGAGCACAACTATTCAGTAGCTTGCAATTCTTTCACTTTTTTACCAGGATGTGCAAATGTTGCATTGGTTTCTGTAAGCAGAGACACCTGTTTAGTTTCAGTGTTAGGGCATGGGAGATGCATGGGAACAGTTTTAGGAGTCAACGTGTCCCTGTCCATGCAGACTTAATAAAATTTGTTTAGTCCTGTTTATGGCAGCTGGTTAACTTCCCTGTCTAAAAGAGTGCAAGTTCACCAGGGAATACATTAGAAGAGGCTTTAGCATGCTGTTGCATTTCATGTGAAGATGGATACTATTCTGTATAGTTGTGCCTTGCTTTATTTTTCAAGTGTATCAGATAATGTGAGCATGGATATGTTGAGTTTTCACAGTTTTATGTTTGAATTTAATAAGTATACATTACAATACTTCCATCCTACCTTTGCATGTTATCTTTAGGTATAAATTTTTGATATCTTCCATCATGGCCCCACTTCTCCCTGACAGAAATACTGTGTTAATGTGGCTGAACTATTGCTGGACGTGAGCCATCCCTGGCTGTAGGAAAGCCAGATTTAAATAGACTTGAACCTCATCCAGTCAGTTGATTTTCTTATTATTTTAAGGAAGGAACTACTGTGGCTTTTCTTTTTTGCCTTTGTCCATGCTGCATGCCCTTTCAGTACCTAATCTTTGCTGCGGAGGGCAACAGTCAGAGCCAATAAACCATCTGTATCACAGAGTGGAAGTCATTCTTTAAACTGGACTCTCTATTGTTGTAGGTTTTGAGGTGTACTGAAAAAGTCCTGATGCACCAGAGAAGGCTTCTGGTGGAACACCCTTCCCAGTATATGCTGTAATACTTGCAGTGCTATTATCTTGTTCATTTTGATTATGCTAATGTTTTTATTTTCCTATATAATCTCACTGTTGAATTCAGAAGTTGACTGTTGGTGCTAAAAAATGGTATTTAGGCACTGAGATTCTCTTTTCAAACAGAAAGAGAAATAGAGAAATATCAGAAATACATTATTGTAAGGACAGTAGTCATAGTGTTTTTCATTTGGATAGCTTTACTGGTAATTAAAATCTCTGGACAGTATCTTAAGAATTTGTAAACTCTTCTGAAAGTGCATTAAGCGGGCTTCTTCTTTTCTCCCACATGACATAATTTAGGAAATTACATTCTTCTCCCTTCTGGGACCTCTACTTCTGGACGTAGGTGTACATTTGAAATGCAGAAATGATAACCCAAGGAAACTTCAGTAAAGCAAACTTAAGTCCAGCAAACTTGTTTATGTTTTCTGCTCTAGTTAGTCACTTGACTCTCAAAGGATTGGCAAATTTACTTGACATGTAGACCTGAAGGTCTAAAGATGAAAAATACATATGACCTTTGAAAGTATTATGGTCAATGTATTACATTGACCTTCAGTTTGTGTCTATGTTGGTTACTAAAATAGCCTCAGAGAAAGTTGTATTTAGTGTTTGTGTACATTAAGGCTTGGAGTCTTTTTGCTATTGTGAATAAATTGTGGTGTCTTTTGGTTCCAGAACTGTTGGGGATAATAAATAACATGGTATTTCAAGCCACGGAACTGACTAGCCCTAACAAAGCTGAGAAAAAACGCTTTTATTGGGTGATAGTTTAACTCAAATGTAAGTTTCTTTTAGTTCAAGAGGAATTTATTTGTAGTATGTGTCTTTAGGTTAACAAAGGCTATACATGAAATAATCTGCAAAGATGAAGAAACAGCTTCGAAGACACAGCTTCTTTAACATGGAAGGTGTAAAGTTAAATCATTCTTCTCTTCAACAGAATACTTGAAATGCTTTTGAGGTGTGTGGTTCGAGGGTTTTTTAGCTGAAGGTATATTTGTGACAAACTGATAGCAGAGCTTTTCAGCCAAATACTACGTAGTCATGGACATGAGTTAATGAACATGCTGCTACATTTGCTACCCTTCTTAGTTGCTAGTACCTGTACTTTTTTTTTTTCATTAACAGTATTACCTATGTTCCCAAAAGTCTTGTCTGGCTTGAAATCGGTGTTAAAAAGCAAAATCAAAAAGCCCTCTGTAGCTGGTGTAAAGGGACGGTGAATTTTTATATTAAAAATTAATCTTAGGACTTACAGACACAGCCATATTAGTAAAAGGCATCAATTCATAGGATGCGTTTTCTTTCCTATTTGGTATTGACTAAAGCTCAGACAGGTAAGTGTCACTCTGAAGCCAGTTATCTAATTAAGCTCTTTAATGTTGCTTTGCTTTACATTGAAAGAATTAAACTATAAAAAGCAGAGGTTGTCTTAATGGTGAATTTTAGGTGACCAAATGTTGTCTTAAAAGAGCTGGTTACTCTGTGGACCAGTATTCGTTTCTGTTTTTCCTAAGTTAAACTGATTTCAAATTGAAACTGGCTGAATTGTTTATACAGGCTTATGCCAAAATAACTTGACATTTTTAATGCTTGTATGTTTATTTTTGTGCAGGTTTGTAGATAAAACAGATGTTACTATAACAAGAGAATAGTTATGAGGATAGAAAACACTGCTGCAAAAAAGTCTAGTAATGGGTATTTCAGATCTAGATTTGAAGATGTTACTTAATATGGAATTGCTAATATTTTTACCAAAAAAAGTACATATTTGTTAGATTCCACAGTCAAGTGCAGATTATAAAGGCAGTTTTATTTCACAGAGGCAATGAAGTTTCTTCCTTTGTCTCCCAAAAGGGGGATGTTTAATTTACGTTGATTTAAAAATAAGTCTCTCAGATGACAAGCTGCTTTTGAATTTATTCTCAGAGTGTGGTGCACTCATCTTCCTAGCAAGTTGTTTCCTTCTTCAGTTCATATGTCTTACTCCGTGCAAAGCAATGCTTAGTATTCATGCGGTTGTTGAGCTATTGAATAGAACCTGTTCACAGTATTAAACTATAAAATTTTTTTTTTGTCGTTGTAGGAAGAAATCTGCTTCATCTAATTCAGTCCTAATTCAGTCCTGCTAATCTGCTAATACTGTAGATTGAAAGATTTTTTTGCTGTTGCCAGGATACCCTGTAATGGGCAAGGAGCCTGAGAAAATACAAATCGTTCTGTTTTTTTAACTTTAAAAAAAAACTTTTGTGTTTAACAGGTAAGAAACTATTAAACTTCTACAGCAGTAGATTTAGCTTCTGCATCTGTAAAGTCTTATCTTAAAATCTAAGTGGTTCCTGAATGCTTTAAGTTTTTCATGTCCCTGATTTCCACTGAAGGCTTATTAACATGAGTTTTGTAGATTCATGCTTACACCTTCTAAGCTGCTTTTCCTTCTGCAGGTCAGGCTTTGTGGCCTTTCCTTTTCTTGCAGCTTCTTTCCCCCGCTACTTTCCAGCTGACTGTTTCTGACTTGGTCTTTTAACTCACCCTGCTGTTGCACTATCTTCTTTCTCTGCCGTGCTTTGGTCTTACAATGAGAATCAAGGGTTATCTAGACACGCTGTTGTGGTTATTCTATTTGTTTTACAGGGAGCATGTTTTAAAGTGTTTTGGTTTTGTGCCAGGAGGTGTATCTGCTGCCCAGCCTCCAATTCTTTGGAAGAGTTTCAAAGCAAATGTGTTCATGAACTGACATGTATTAGGTATGAATGATGTTTAGCGCTATAGGTTATTATATTGAAGTATGGTCATACTGCAATTGAATTTTTGGTACTAAACTGCATGCTTCAGTGTAAAATTGTATTCTGGGTAGCTATGTGTTGTTTAGCTTTTTTATAATATTATGGGACCATCTGCATTTCTCAGTACATAGATCCCTTCATTTCTATTTTGAAGATAATTGGAAAAATTCAAAATATGAAGAATTTGAGTTCTTTGACCAATGAATATTTTAAATGTGTAAGCATTTGGCTGTTGAAGTGGAGTTACTAGAAAATGATTCATCTTTTCTACTTGGGCAGGGGAGATCAGTGGCAAATTTGTAGTTATTGCAGGAAAATAAGATCTATATTTATTAACACTTACTAAGCTGGGGTTTGAAATAGACTGTAGGAACTGACAAGGATACATTTGTTGGTATAAAATTGCTTTTTTAAATTAATTGCAAAATAGATTTCAGCTGATTTTTGTACTTTTGTTGGATAGTTTTGACCTCTTGAATTTTGAGAGATTGGTGTCTTTGATTAAACATTAACTAGTTTGGACTTAGGTCCTTCAGCATGTCAAAGCAATTGATTGTTGGGCCATTCAGTCATAATAGGGGGTGTGTGTATATGCACGTGATGTGCATGTATATATATAATTATGTAAAACCCCATACATTTCTAGTTCTGATCTAGATAGAAGTGCAGCTAGTGCGTGTAAGTAAGGGAGGCTAGTGTAATAAATAAGGGTGAAAGCGATTTTACTTCTATCTCAACTCCTAACTGTTCTGCAACCACATTGGGCTCCTTCTTCCCTTGACTGATACAAGAGTGAAAGTCCCTACTCATTAGATAATTTACCTCCTCATTAGAAGGAGGAGGCAGCAGTTACTGAACATCCTTTTTGTGAAAATTACTATGTCTTCATTCAGTTTTCTGATGTGTTTCTTTCCCAGTCAAGAAGGGACTACCATATGGTGTCTTTCCCTTGCATTTCGCTCAAGAGTATGCTGCTACCCTCTGAAAGTATAGTAGTTAGCTGAGGAGCATATGTGCTCTAAATGGGTATAGTGGCTGGAAAAAATTATATCTGTATTACAAGCTTAAATTGTACAACAGTCAGTTAACATGCTGAAGTGCTTCTCTTGTGTTCCAAAACATCGTTTAGCTACACAGACATTCTTGATGGTATTTGGAAGAAGGTGCAGTATCTTGTTTTTTGGTATGTAAGTGAAATTTTACCTGCAAATAGTTGAAAATGCTGAAATATTGCTAGCTTATCTACAAGGAATACTCCCCCACAGTTCCTAAATCTTTCAACTTAATGATGGTAAGGTCTTACTAAGATGGTCATTAAATGGTTTGGGTTGGAAGGGACCTGTAAAGGCCATCTAGTTCAACCCCACTGCAATGAGGAAGAACATCTTCAACTAAATCAGGTTGCTCAAAGCCCCATCCAACCTGACCTTGAATGTTTCCAGGGATGGCACATCTACCACTTCTCTGGGAAGCCTGTTCCAGTGTTTTACCACCCTCATCATAAAAAAATCCTTCCTTTATATCTAGTCTGAATCTACTCTTTTTCAGTCTAAAACTATTACCACTTGTCATATTACTACAGGCCCTGCTAAAAAGTCTGTCCCCATCTCCCTTATGAGCCCCCTTTAAGTACTGAAAAGCCACAACAAGGTCTCCTTGAGCCTTCTCCAGGATGAACACCTCCAACTCTCTCAGCCTTTCCTCATAGGAGAGGTGTTCCTTCCCTCTGATCATCTTTGTGGCTCTCCTCTGGACCTGCTCCAACACATCCATGTCTTTTCTGTGGGCTCCTGAGCTGGACGTAGTATTCCAGGTGGATTCTTGCCAGAGCAGAATAGCTCCCTTGACCTGCTGACCATGTGTCTTTTGATGCAGTCCAGGATACAGTTGGCTTTCTGAGCTGTGAGCACACGTTGTAGGCTCATGTTAAGCTTCTTGTCCACCAACACCCCCAAGTCCTTCTCCACAGGGCTGCTCTCAATCCCTTCATCCCCCAGCCTGTACTGATACCAGGAGTTGCATTGACCTATGTGCAGGACCCTATACTTGGCCCCATAAGTGGCATGGGTGCACTTCCTGAGTTTGTCCAGTTTCCCTCTGTATGGCATCTCATCCCTCAGATGTGTCAACTGCACCGCTCAGCTCAGTGTCATCAGTGAATTTGCTGAGGGTAGACTAAATCTGAATGTCTGTCATTGATGAAGATATTACCAGTTCCTTATCCACTGAACAGTCCATCCATCAAAACATGTCTCTCTCTAATTCAGAGAGAAGTTTGTGTGGGGGACCATGTCAAATGACAAGTCCAGATAGATGACATTCATAGCTCTTCACTGATGTAGTCACTCCATCATAGAAGGCCACTAGGTTAGTCAGGCAGGACTTGAAGTCACAGCTCTTGGTGAAGCCATGCTGGCTGTCTTGAATCACCTCCCTGTCCTCCGTATGCCCTAGTGTAGCTTCATGATCAGAGGCAGTTCCATCAGCCTGCTCTTGTGCACTGAGTGCCCTAGCCACCCACCATCTCAAAGGCCCTGTGTTGGGCCCACACCTGATGAATCAGTGTCTTTTCTGGACTAGGGAGAGCAGGAAGGGACAGAGGAGTCCAAATGCAGTTGCCAAAGCACTAAATAAGAGAGGAGGAAAGCATTTTTTACTGCTGTTTTCTTGTTTTGTTGTTTTTGGGTTTTTAAAATTGTTTATTGCCCAACCTTGAAAAAACCTCTTAATGAAGCCGCTAGAAACAACCTTAATGTCTCAGGCCAGTACTTCTTCCTGGCAGCACTGCAGTCTTCTGCTTTTCTAAAGGAACAAGTGTTTAACTTCTTTGCTTGATCTGTTGCTATTCATGCACTGCCTTGGAGGGTCTGGCTTCATCTTCAGCCACCCATTGGGCAGCCTTCTTGTCCTCAAACTGATGAAACCTTACTTCCAGGTCCCAGGGACCTTGGTGGCCCTGTGGGAGGTGGTGGACTCACCATCCCTGGAGGTATTTAAGAAACATGTAGACATGGCTCTTCAAGGCATGCTCTAGTACCCAAAACTATTGGTTTGTGGGTGGGTGTGATGTGGTGGGGTGTTGTGGTTTTTGTTTTGTTGTGGTTTTTGTTTTGTTTTTAGGGTTGGACTCTATGGTCTCAGAGGTCCCTTCCAACCATGGTAATTCTGTGAGGGATGGCTCCTGTTGCCCCAGTGCAGCAGTCTGGTGGAAGCTAGGTTGTCTCATCCCCTTTTCTTGGGGATCAGGGCAGAGGAGATGGCACCCCATCAGGAGATGGGAAAGAGAAGGGCTTGCACCACTCATGGCAATCAACAAAATAATTGTTAATGATGGGAGATGGAACAGGTGGTCCTGCAGAAAAGTCATGTGCGGAGGGAGGGTGCAGATGGGGAGGCTGGACCAATGGTAGGGTACTAGCAAGGCACCTGTGATGCTGGTGATGGTGTCATGGAGGGGAGCCCTGTCATGGTGTACTGGTGCTAAGGGAGCCATGCTAGAGGTGGATCCACCTTCACTGGTTCTTCTTGATCTTTGGGTGGCCATCACTACCATGTGGCTGATGGTGCCCCTCCTCTGACGCTGCCTCCTTTTCTTCTGTGTCTCCTGCAACCATCCGCCTTCCTACCCAGAAGGGCTATTTTAATGGGATAGAAGATAATTCCTTATTTTCCCCCTGAACTCTCAGTGCAGAGGCAGGAATGTAAGTGTTGCTGTATATGAGAGATTCTTTCTTGTGTCTATCAAGTGGAAAAAGTGGGGAATTTAGTGATGTGTATAATAACTGTGTATTGCTATAAATTACCATTACTTTACAAAAACGAACTGTTTTGGTCTAGATATTCAAGCTAGAATGTCTTAGTTTTTCATATTTTGTTCATGTTGCCCTTGATTCCAGACTAAATGCATAAGTGCTTAATTTTCCCATTTAATAGGTCTTAAGATATTTAATGTCTTGAGGAGTCGTGCCCCAGCCTGCAAAGGAGAGGCAGTTGAAGACGGCATGTTCACAATGAGTGATGCTGTGGCTGAGCAAAATAGGCAGTTCAACAAGTAGCCTGCCACTAGACTGTTTTTTCTGTCAGTTTGGGTGGCTGGTAGTTCTGCTCTAAATTTTTTTTTCAAACATGCACTTCTGCTTAGCTTTGTTTTGAACAGATGCTCCATTTCCAGTGTCAGAATAAGCATTTTATAGATGCTAGTAAGATGTCTAATTAGTGTTCATTGTTTGGAGAAAAGCGAAAAATAAAAAACATAACTGGGAATTAATTAAATATACCTAGGGACTAACTGGTTGAGGTTATGTGAAGCTAGCAGAAGGGTATGCTTAGTCTTTTAAAGAATGCAGTGCATTTAAAGGTCTTTAAAATGTTGGTAAATTCACTTTTAATTATAAAAGCAAAAGAATTTGTCTTCATTAATACTTTGTCCTTCCCCAGACCTACCTGTCTATTTGGTTTTTAGAAGGCATTTCCGTTGGAAATGGCTTTTATCACTAAGAAATATAAGACCACCTTGAAAACCTGTGGTGGTTGCTTTCTTTGCATCCAGCAACTCAGTTGTCTTTTGCTACTTGCTACACAGGAATTGTAAAAACATATTTTACTGAAGTAGGCTACATAATTTTGGATGTGTTTCAACCATGGAAAGGTTTGTTGGTGCAAAAGTAACTCATTTACTTTTTTCATGTGTGCACTTGAACCCTGTAGTAAGAAAATAATGATGGTATATAAAGAAAATTGACAGTTTTGTTGTGAGTTTACTTTTGTATAATGCAGTCCTTGTTATAACTCTCTATGTAGTGTTTCTCAGACTTTCACGTTTTACAGAATCTTCAGCTTGATACTGATACACTTTTTTTTAAAAAAAAAAAACTTGTTTGAAAAATGAAACTGAATATTGCTGTAAAATCTGCAGAGTTCCTACCAGAAGCTCTGTGTATGTGCTTTTAGCATCCAGTTGTCAGGGAAAACAGCCCTCAGCTGGCTAGCTGAGGTCCTTTTCAGTTTGCTTTCTGCACTGGTCTAGATCTCCATGTCTGCTTGTAGCTACTAACACTCAAATGTTAGGTAGAACTACAAGGTAACCAAGTTGGAAGTAACTCCTTGCAAAGTATGTTTGACTTAAGTATGATACTTAAAGGTTTAAATGAGCAGCTTTAATAGTTTTCTTATTTTTTGAAGGGACTTCTGGGTGCTTTAAAGTAAAAAGTCTGTTTTGTAAAAGGTGCAATACAGGAGACATTGTCCAAAATTAAACTATATACTTGTCTGACTGGAATTCATTTCTTTGTCCTGTGGCTTGAAAACATGAATTTATGTGTTCAGGGAAGATGTTTGACAGCTACATCAATTGCAAGCTGGAGAGAAACTTACTGATACAGTTGTTACCAACTTTTTTGCTTCCAATTAAGCACTTGGTCTCTAGAGAGAGCCACATACTAGTTACTGTTAAACAAAACACAGATTGTAGTTTCTTCAGCTGTAGTAGGCAGAAGACTTCAATTTTTTTTCTGGACTGAAAGGATCACTTCTAAGCTTTATTTCCTCACTTTAGCAAACAATTCAAGTGAAAATGTCAGTTACCTGTATCTCAGAGCAGTTGATGGATTTTTTTCATTTTGGTGAACTGTTTTTTGTTTTTTTTCAGATTTAAGTCAGGTGTTTACTTCATGAAATGTTATGTCAGCGTTCATTGAGAGAAGAATCTGTTAACAATATTAACTAAGAAAACAAAGCAATATTTTTCTTAATGCTGGGCATTCCTTAGGATCTTGAATTTTCGTAACTTGTATATCAACAAGTTAATGTAAGGTTTCAGGAGTACTGTTTACATGAATTCAAAGTCTGTTAGTCTTGCTTGCTGGGAACTTTAAGAGATTATGGAAAGCTAACTCAAGATACAAAAGATGATCAAATACCTGCAGCAGCTTTAGCATCTTTTAATACAGTTTTTTTCCCCCACATCTTGGTGTTTTTAGTATTATCCTGGATTATTTTCCTCCTTGTAGTATCTAATCTTGAGCATGTCTCTCATTTTGGATTCAATGCAAGATGCAAAAGACTGCCAATGTTGTGATTTTTTTCTGCTCATACTGGCAATGGAGTTGAACACTGGGAGTAACACAACCGAACTGACCTGTGGAATTTATCATAAATTTGCAGATAGTGAAATTTTGTGCGGAGCACTCCTGATTTGTGGACATAAGGCCTAATTCTGACTCTGTTAATGGGACAGAAATTTGAAAAAGCATGAAGGTAATTCAAAGTTTCAGAATTGGTAGGTTTGGGGAGGGAAAACAGTAGGCTGTGGGAATAATAACAGTAAGTTTTTGTTTTTAATACTTCCGATCAGAACTATGGTAGGCTGATTTTAGATTATCACCAGTATAACACCTAAGAAAATTCTATTCTCTTCAGGGTTCCTGGACTTCCTCTTTGGCACATTTTATGTTGTTTATTTTTCCTTATTTCAAAGGACCTGGGCTCCTGTTGAAAAGTGATGGAATAATCTCTGGCCGGCACCTGACATGTTGAGGGAGCACCCCCTAAAAGAGCTTGCCTGGGAGACAGTTTGTGAAATAACGCAGTAACATGTTTGCAGTAGTATGCCTCTTTTCTTGTTGCTATTTTCCGTTGTTGAATTTCTCTTGAAATAAGTAACTGAGAAACACATTGAAGCTACTGAAATGAGCTTTAATCACTTCAGAGGGATTTACATCTGGAATTAGCATTGATAGTGGTTACTTGCAAAGATGCTACTTTCACTAACTGGGGCAAAGGGAAGGATTTAATTTACTTCCTAAAAGCTTAAAAAAACCCAAACAAAAATATCCTGTTACTTCAATGCACTAGTTTCACTTGCTTACAGTAAGTCTTTGTGCAGCCTGAATACCCACATGTTTTTAATAACAACTTTGTACAATTTGATTTAAGCTAATTTGTGAGATCAGGTGTTTTGTACCCTACTTTGTAAATTTACTAATACTTCTAGTAGAAAAGCATTTTTTTTCTGTTTTTAACAACTTTATCCTTGCATGGGGTCTCAGATGATTATAAGTGCCAATGCTGCAGTTGAAATTCTGTACTTTTTCCTGATAGCTTTCTGTTTGAAAATAGGGGAGTCAAACAAAATCAATGTAATCTAGAAGCAGTTATGTATGCGTACAACATTTGGTGGAAGACTGAGCAAATAAGGTTACATTAAGTGATCAGTGTGTAATTGTTAATGTAACAATGAAATCCCTAAAAGCAATTTAAACTTCTCCATAGTGAGTATACCAGGCTTTTCAATATTTAGGACAAATATTGGAAGTCTTGCTAATAAAGTGAGTCATAAGGATTTTGCTGGATCCTTGGACTTGTATTTGTTTTCCAAACTGCTGAAGTACTAAATTTGATACTTCAGTGTTCTAAGTAGTTGTAGTGTGCATACTGAATCCAGTTTAACTTGGAAATAGATGCTTATAGCTGTCTACCTCTTAGCTTGCATAATAATGAGATATTTCTATTTTTTGTAGTTGTTTATAGGAGTGTATGACAAAGGCATATTTTGATTATTGTGTTGAATGTCTTTAAGCTTGCTCCTGCATATAACCTGCAGCTTACAGAAGTGTTCTTGCTAAAATAGTACTATTCACCTATGTTCTCTGGTAACTACATGTCCTTGCAGCTGGTATCACTAATGCCCAGCAATAATTAACGTATTGAATCAGTCCTTCACACTTGGAAGGCAGTTATTAAAGGAGCAAAAAGAGTGTCTCTTTCCTTATTTAAAAGAGTATGCTCAAAACCATGCTGCTTCCAATTGTAAGGAAAGAAAAGTTTTTCTTACTCTTCTCTAATGTCTGTATTATCTCTTTCAATCCACTTGAACTGTGCATTCACACAAGACCAGCTGATTCTGTGTCAGAGGTTAAATGTGTAAAAGCCCTGGTTTGGAGAGGGGGTAATGGACTGAATGCTTGTATTGAACCTAATGAGAGGTGAAGGGAGGAGTTTATTGCATCTATTATACACTGAAATATTATTTTCTGATAGCACAGTTGTCTCAGTAGCAACTGCTTGCAAGGTGTTGTAGAGCAACAGAATTAACCTGGAGGTGCCAAAACATTTTATAAGGAAAGATTCAGTTGCTCATCCTTATACACTTCTGTTATGGCCTTTTACAGTGTTTCAGTGGTTGGGGCCACTGCCCTTTCACATGTTTGCATAAGATATTTTATTGTCCCTTGTTCTTCCTCCTGTGTCAAGTTTGTCGAGGGAGGCACAGTGAGAGAGTAGATCCTGCGTTGAAATTAGCTGCAGTGCTGTGTGCAGCCTGTAAGATAAAATTATTAGAATTTATCCACCTTTATAGGTGTTTTCTTCAATGGCAGGGGTGATATTCTATTGTGTTTGTACAGTGCCCATTTTATCTTCTCCCAGCTCTAGTAATTGCTGAGCAAGTTGTTTTGAATCTGAGACTTGGTGCATAGATTCAAAACAAAGGTTGGGAAAAGCAAATTCAAGAAATTGAAAACCAAAGTTATGTTTTTTTCCTTTAATGCAGATTAGCATGTTCCTTTCATGTAAGTAAAACTCTGGAGCTGCCTGACTTTATCTTTGGATGTTAGAATATTAACTATTGTTGAAGGTACAAAAATTACTACAGAGTATTAGGTTATTATTTAATCAAGCCTGGTTTTGTAGCTCTTGATCGCCAGCATCTACTGTTTTGCCTTATTCAAGTTTTAGAAAGTTTCCATGCATGCCAGGTACCTTTGGGGTTAGAAGCTATGAAATGTTACTATGAAGTGTTACTACAAATACTGTTTAAATAGATTTGTAACCTTAATGCTCTGTGTATTCTTCTTATCCAGACCAGCATGTTTTGGAAATTTGATCTCCATTCATCATCCCACATAGATACGCTTCTAGAGAGAGAAGATGTAACACTGAAGGAATTGATGGATGAAGAGGATGTTCTGCAAGAGTGCAAGGCTCAGAATCGCAAACTTATAGAGTTTCTGCTGAAATTAGAATGTTTGGAAGACTTAGTTTCATTTATTATCGAAGAGCCACCTCAAGACATGGATGAAAAAATTCGATATAAGTAGGAAAACTTTTGGGGATGGGGGAGACTTGGGAAGGTGGAAAGAGGGGTAACTTACTCCCACTAATTTGATAGTGTGTTTTGAATCCCTGCGTAATGATGTGTAGTACAATATTTTAGAGTAAATTTGTTTTCAGTGGGCTTTCTAGAACTTTTAAATAAATTGTACTAATACTTGCATATTTTTCAAATGGAAGCCTCTTATCCACAAATGCTTCCAAAACCAATTGCTGTCCAAAGGAGACTTAAGTTCTGATTTATTTAATTTTTTTTATGTCAAGAACTTTGTAGTTGTGATTATTAAGAAAATAGTCGAATAAAAACTCTTATTTCGGTAGTATAATTAAGTGCTTAGCTTTGTTTTATTGATGATTGGTAAGCTGTTTTGAAGATGCTTATTAGAGGGTCTGTAGCACTCCTTGGAAGAATGTACTTAACATCTAATTGCTGGTGTTTTTCCTTTGCAGAGCTAGAAATGTAAGGATTGGGTATAACTATGACTTGAGCTAGTTTGCTGGGAAGGTTCAAACTCAATGCATATAAAATTCATATAAAAGCACTTTTACCATTTTTAGCCTATTTTAGAGTTATCTGTTCAGAAAGCTAATTTTTTTTTCTTAAAGTAGCATTTTAAAAAAAAGTGAAATAAATTAGACTCTTCATTGCCGCACTTCACTGTTTCTGGTAAACCAAGCCTCTGATAAGTGTTTCTAGTAGAGTTTGAAATTGAGGCATCTTTCACGTAGAAACCTTAAGCTGCTGATGCTGTCAAAATTGCCTTTAGTGTGAGTGGATAATAGTGCTGCCAAATGTAGGAAACTACTGATATTGATGGCTTAGATTTGTCTTAGTTTAATTAGTGTTCTGAACTGTACTGACTTTGCCAGACTTTGAATAGTTTACTGAGTTAAAATGTGTGTATATATATAAAAAAAAACCTCTGAAGCTATTCCTTTTGACCTTTTTAATATAATCCCTGTTACTATAAAGGGTCAAACACACTGTTTCCTCTCCAGTATTGGTCAGTACTATTAGTCTGCTTAACTTCTTGGTAACTAACTTTTTTCTCTTCAAAAAAAAAAGTGGCTTCTGAAACAACGAGATCTGTACTTGAACAGATGGATTTAACAATAGAACAGGTGGATTTAATAATAGATCTTAAAATAAAAGCTGCCCTTTCCTTTCCCCAGTTCCCTAGTGTTGTCCTGTTGCTACTGGAGAACGAAGTTGTTCATTTCTTGAATAAAAGAACAGTTTCTAGGCTGAATGTACAGTAATGTTACTTTGCAGTAGTTTGCTGCTTTAATTAGTGCAGACCAGCCCTGCTTGAAAACTTGGTCAGGAGCCTTACCAGGTTCTAAATTCAGAGCTCAAAGTGTGAGATTTGAAGTATGGGGGTGGATAATTCTTTTTTTTTTTTTTTTTTTTCCCTAGATACCCAAACATATCATGTGAGCTGCTCACATCAGATGTCTCACAGATCAATGACAGGCTGGGAGAAGAAGAATCCTTACTTATGAAACTGTACAGCTTCCTCTTAAATGAATCTCCTCTAAACCCTCTACTGGCCAGTTTCTTCAGCAAGGTGCTAAGTATTCTTATAAGCAGAAAGCCAGAACAGGTAAATACTTACAAGATCTCCAGTTTAACGAGTGCTGTAATAAAGTTGTAGTACTCTGCAATGCTGCTTTAAGACTATGCATTTAAGGGATAGCAGCAGAGTCAAAAAGAGTATTCACCTTCTATACTAGCTGAAGACACTAACTTTTTTTATACTATGCACAGGATTAAAGAAATATTTATGGATGAGTAATCTATACTTGATTCAGACTTGCCTGAGCTGTTCGTGCAATCAGTGCATGAGTGCTTACCTCAGTATTTTATATGATGATATTGCATTAATTGCTGTTAGAGGTGAATCAGTGGGAGTGAGCCTGACTTGGTGTGAGGAATTGTTATAGAAGAAAGTGAGAGATGTTTGGAGTCCTTGTTCAGAAATGTTGTTGTGCTGTGTGTTCATGTGGCCCGATACAGCAAATAGCTACAGTGAATGGCTCTCGTACCTGGGCACACTAGTTTACCAAGCTCTGTATTTGCTTGTATTGTGTTAAGGTTTTGCTGTGTTGAGCTTTACTCACTAAGCAGGGATGAAAGTAATTTATACCAAAAAGGAAGGCTGACTGTACATTGGATTATAAGTAGTTTATGGTCAGCAAGGTGGGCTTGAAAGGAGGCCCAAGACACACTGCACATAGTATGCAGCTGTCCTGTGCCGCTTTGGTACTCTATAGGTGTGTATTATTTTTTTTATCTTGCCTTGTACTGCAAGCTTTAGGTGGCAACAGTGTTTAAGAAGTTCTTGTTTATTTTCTCCATTTGGTAGGAGAAAGGTTGGTGTAATTTACCATGTAAAATTATAGATAAGCTAATGTAAGCTTTTTTTTAATTTCTAGATTGTCGATTTTTTAAAGAGGAAACATGATTTTGTGGACCTCATTATTAAGCACATAGGGACCTCTGCTATCATGGACTTGTTGCTCAGGCTACTGACTTGCATAGAACCTCCACAGCCCCGGCAAGAAGTATTAAATGTAAGGAAAATGTCTCAAAGGATTTTTGTCTGACATGTGAACTTTAAGATGGCTTATTTTCTGCTGGTCTTGCTAAGTTTATTTGTTAAATGTGCTGAAATTAGATGGGGGGGGGGTCTTCTTGGTGTGGGGTTTTTTTTTGGAGCTGACAATACTTTGCCAGTGGACCCACAGTGCTGGGGCAAACAACTTAGGACCTAAGTTCTGAGTTCTTGTCTTTAACATCTAACTTACAGATGCAGTTTTAAAAGCGTTTTGGTTACTGAATGGGTGGTTTTTTTGGCACCAGAAAATTTATTTTAAAATTATACTTAAAATTTTCTTTTTAGAGTTGCTCAGAAACATGAATTTTGCTTTTTTTCTTTTTTTCTGAAGTTTGTTAGTCCTTCTTTAGAAACATCAACAGTATGACTCAAGGCAACTGTCAAACAACTTCTTTTAATTTTGTTAATTTTAGTTCATTTAATTCATTCACTTGAATAACGTTCTTACTGACACCCACAAATGCTTTTACAGTGGCTAAATGAGGAGAGAATTATCCAGCGGCTTGTGGAAATTGTACATCCATCTCAAGATGAAGATGTAAGTGTCTGTCTGACCCTCTTCCGGGTCTATCTATTCAAAGAGTTGCTGTACAATCTAGTGTTAGAACTTCTAGTTTGATTATTTTCTGTTTGCTTTTTTCAGTAAGCTAATATCAATATTTAAGTGTGGTTTTTTCCCCTTCCCACTTCTTCCCCACTTTAGGCTTTTGCCTGAAGGCGTTTTGGGTAGGAGAGACTCTTGTCCAAGTTGAAACTTTGAACTTCTCTTAATTGAAGAATTACAGTTCAGCATGTTATTACTCTTACAGTGAAAAGCTATGTTTTTCTATTCCAGAGGCATTCAAATGCATCACAGTCACTCTGTGAAATTATTCGTCTAAGCAGAGATCAGATGTTACAAGTACAGAACAGTTCAGAACCTGATCCACTGCTTGCAAGTCTAGAGAAGTAAGTTGGTTTGCTGAATTTCTGATTTCATTTTCAGTTCAAAAAAAAAAACCTACAGTTTTTAGCTTTTGACATAGAAAACCTTACTATTATCCCTTTATTAATTTTACATGGGTAAATGGTAGCTACTTTTGTTAAGTTATATTCTGAAGTAGTAGTATATCTGATACCAATGCTTTTCTTTCTAGACAAGAAATCATAGAGCAGCTGCTGTCTAATATTTTTCATAAAGAAAAAAATGAATCTGCAATAGTCAGTGCAATCCAAATACTATTGACCTTACTTGAGACAAGACGACAGACGTAAGTATTCTTCTTTCATATGAATTATGTCTGACAACTAAACTTGTAGTAGCAAGTGTCTTCCATTGATGACTAAACCATTTTTGTGGCCTGTTGTAGTCAAAGTAGTAAAAGAGCAAAAACAAGTGATGGTGGTTGGCATTACTGTACTTTGACAAAATGACTGGTCTTTCTGCACATTTTTTCTAGAAGTTAAAGTGCGACTTGAAAATTTGTCTAATAACATTTCATCAATTAGTTTCTGAATACAAGGAATAGCGCAAATAGTGCAGTGAGTGGTACTGACTTTTTTTACAAAACTATTTGGAATTTTATTACAGCTTCACTTTGTGAAACCACTGAACAGATCTCTGTGGTACATTCAGTTTTATGTTGTTCAGGATAGATGAGTAACACTCTTTATCTGCCTCAAAAGAGAAAATACAACAGCTATAATGTTTAATCCCAAAACCACATTGGAGATTTCAGCCACAATAAACCTAAAAATATTGGGGCTAGTGTTTGGAAAAATCCTGTCCAACCATTGCTTCACACGTAATTTATATTTGTAACCTTATGTTTTTACTTGCCTCTTAAATCTTTTCAGGTGTTGTCAGAATTGTGGCACTGTCAAAATGATACCTTAAAGATATTTTAGAACTAGTTTTGATATTAATTATCAGGTTTTGCTTCTGTGTGTTTTAGATTTGAAGGCCATATAGAGATCTGTCCTCCAGGCATGAGCAATTCAACATACTCGGTCAACAAAAGTGTTTTAGAAGCCATAAAAGCACGACTTTCATCCTTCCATGAACTCTTACTTGAGCCTCCAAAAGTAAGTGAAACCTTGTGTTACCAAATTAATCGAAACAAGACTGTCATTGTGTGACTGTGTTTTAGGCAGGTTATAATAACAACAAAAAACCCAGTTTGACAACCTTCAGGCTAGTGTCTTCTCAGCCTGTTGTGAGCTTTGCTGTTCATTTTTGTTGCTTCTGAGCCAATGTGTTGTGCTAATTGACGTTCTTTTCCAGCTTAAACTTTAATTGGCAGAATAGCCTTGAAGCAATTGCTTCTTTCTGAAAGCAAGGAAAAGAGATTTGCTATATATTCTTAGGGTAGGTCCTGTTTTCTGCTTGGAAATCCTCTCTGGATAAGAAATGTAGGCTATGGGTGTTTCAGTTGTTTGGAACTTACGCACAGGCCACACAAGGCCTGCACAATTCCTCTAGACTTGCCCAGGACCCAGGTAGACCAGCTCCATGGTGTGCACTGTGCTCTCTAGGCATGTTAAATTCTTCGGGCTTTTTAACTGATGTAAGCAGCTTATCGATGTCATGCTGTTGCAAAAGATAAATACAAGACTTATAAATACGGGGTTTACCCATGATCCATTTATGTTTCTCCACTCAAATTTTCACTGGCAGAACTTCAGCTGGACCACTGCACCCTGAACTGGGTGCCACAGTCCGTAAGAGGACCTGTGGGCCAAAGTGAAATAAAGATCTAAAGCGTATAAAATACTGGATGGGAAAGTCAAGGTAGTGTTAAAGTTCAATTTAGGCTGGAGAAGATCAGACTTTCAAATGCTGAAGAGGTAGTAAAATGCAGAGAAACTCTTTGTCTTTATTGCAACACCACAACCAGTATGCAGGTCGATATTACAATAAAAGCAGGGTCACATAAGATACTTGAGTATTTTCTGATGGTTGGACATACTTGGCGTTTGAAAAAAGTAGTCTAGTGAAATTATTGAACCTGTTGCTCATTTTGAGTACTAGCTCAATGGGCATCCTTTAGATATTTGCTTTACGTAAGGACTGGACTAAATGAGCTAGCAGGATATCCATCATCTTTTTTCTGATGCAAGGGTGATGCTGGTCAAGCAAAAATGACAAAATTACAAAAGGCGGTAGTGTGTTTGTGCATTAAGTTAGGAAGATATTTTATTATGAATTCCCCTTCTTGTAGCATATTTGCTACTAGATTTTTTTTTAGCTCTTAAAGTAGCTAATACCAAGCTTAGTTATGTGACAACAGTTCTGTTTTTTTAACCAGCTAAAGTTTCATGAAGCTTATGATTTGTAATACAAGGACCCATTAATGCACAGAAAGAGATTCTTGCTGTGTTGGAAGTAACTCTTTGAAAGACTACAGATGGAGCTTGTTTCATGTATAACATTGGAATAAGGCAATGAAGTAGCTTGTTGCTTAATGAAATGGGTTCCAAGTATACAAAGCTAGGGATGTTGAGGCATTAGAGACTGTCCACCTAGCTATCTTGTGCATGTTGCAGCAGTGTAGACTATAGCTGTACACAGATTAACCAATGAGAAGTATTTCCTAGGAAGTATCTCTTAATTCCTTTGAAGGTTAGGTAAAATGCATCTACTTTGAGATCCTGTCTATAGTTAACAATCAACTTTTACGGTGTCGTTGGTTTCATGTAGCTGTGTTAGTGCTTTCTGTCTATGGAGTTAAAATAAGCTACAGTGTTCGGAACTAAAAATTGCTTTTTTGCAGAGTGAAGGTAAGCCCTGTTGCTTGAGGACTGGTTGTATATATTTTTAAGTGCTACTCTGTCATTGTGCATAGTAATGATGGCTGTTGTTTAAAGACATTTTAATGGATTTTCTGTATGTATCTTCTTCATTTTACAGAAAAGTGTCATGAAGACAACCTGGGGTGTATTGGATCCACCTGTGGGAAACACACGTTTGAATGTGATTAGATTAATATCTAGCCTTTTACAGACAAATACAAGCAGTGTGAATCAGGAGCTTATAGAGCTGAACAGCATAGGAGTAATACTGGTGAGAACTTCATACTGCCTTCTTTATTTTTGTGGATAGCTATTAAGATCTTGTCTGGTTGTTTTTTTCTGTCAGTGAAGATAATTTGTAGTATATTTTCCAGCCTAACTTTTCAGCCTGTTAGTGTTGTTTCTATAGCACTGTTTAAGAATTTCTAATACTGGATTTTACCGTGAAATTCATCTGTCTGAAGCCAGCATTTTCCTCCAATCACTTGAGTGGTTCTTATTCTCTACATCTTCAGAAGTATATGAAGTGGTCTTCTGGTTTAACTCCAGCTGGCAACTAGAACCACGCAGCTGCCTGCTCGCTTCCCCACTCCCCAGTGGGATGGGGAGAAGAATCAGAAGAATAAGGAAAATGAGAACTTGTGGGTCGAGATAAATGCAGCTTAATAAATAAAGCAAAAGCCATGCACACAAAGCAAAACAACGAATTTATTCACCGCTTCCCATGGGCAGGCAGGTGTTCAGCCATCTCCAAGAAAGCAGGGCTCCATCATGCATAATGGTTACTTGAGAAGACAAAATGCTGTAACCCTGAATTTTCCTCCCTCCCTTCTTCCCCCAGCTTTATATACTCAGTGTGACATTACATGGTATGGAACATTCCTTTGGTCAGTTGGGGGTTGGCTGTCCCATCTGTGCCTACTCCCAACTTTTTGTGCACGCCTAGCACATCTGTCTGCAAGCCCGAGTTATGCAGAGAAATTGAAATGAAGACATTGCAACTGTAGCTGTATTCATTTGCTGTATCAATTACTGGCAGGGTGATATGAGGAGCAGAAAACATCTTGACATCAAAACCTAAAAACATTAGTGCATTATCAAGATTATTCTTGTCCTAAACCCTTTTGCTAGGGTAACCAGCTGCTAGTAAGAAAATTTATTCTATCCCAGACAAAACCATGATGAGTTATTTTCTGAAGAAACTTATTTTTTTCATTTGCATGTTCTCAAGCTTTCAGCCATGTTCAAAGCTTCCCTACTATTTTCATTCTTTTCTGAAGGTGTTTCCTCAAACCCCCTTTTCCTCTCTTAATATATGGCACATCAAATGGTATCTTTGCACAACAAACAGAGTCAGTTAACTCATTGATTTTTGCTAATGTGGAGTCCCTTTTTCTTTCAACTAATTAGTACATCTGTGGTTGTAATGTCCTCATCTCAGTTTCTCTTCATAACTTGGGTTTGCAGACAGGTGCTAGCTTGCGTGCAAGTAACTTCACCGTAACTGAAATTTTTCCTAGATGCGTTGTCTGAGGGAGCATACCTGTTATGAACACTTGCATGTTCTTAAAATAGATTATTTTGAAAACTAACTTCAGTGAGGTTTGAACATGCTTCTCTGCAGGTTTTATGTAATGGGGGGGTGGGAGTGAGGAGGGGAACATAACTGTAGCCATATAAACTTCTCAGGGCTTTATGCTGTTTACTGAAACCGCATATGCTTTACTGTGCAGACTTGGCTGTTAAGAAAAGTAATTGTTTAGTTCCAGTAGCATATCTTCATGGGATGATGTCATTAGTTTAGGGGGACTGAAGGAAAATTTGAGATCTTTGGCTGTATTTTAAACTAGACTTGAATTGTTTAATACTGTTCCACTTGCTGCATGTACTTCCATAACTAATTTCATTTTACTAGTGACAGCAATCATTTGAGTTTTGCAGTAAGTAGTAGTCTAAAGTAAATGGACATAAAGCTTGAAAAAAGTCTTTCCTATGTTTGGGAGGAAAAATGTGGAAAGCCAGGAGCATGACTAATGAACACTGCTTATTTTATCTCAGCCTCAGTATTTGTCTGTCTTGTGTAAGGCATTTAATAATCTTAAACCGCATCCAGATTATCTAAAGTAGCCTTCTGTAATAGAAGAACAAAATTAGTAGATGACAGGTTCAAAATAGGTATCCAGTATGATAGCCCTTGTGTTCAGGTAATAGCAAGCACAAGAATTAACTTTTTTGTAGAGTTACAAATTTCCTCTTGTGCTGTAATACTAATGTAAAACTTCAAGAATTTGTTCCAGTGTAGTCATTCAGATATCTTGCTGAGGTGAGACTATTGGTTATGGTCAATGAAAAGACATTGGTTTGTGTTGAACTTTCATTGTTCAACAACATTCAACAAATTCATTGTCGAATTTGTTTTTCAGGACATGTTCTTTAAGTATACATGGAATAACTTTTTGCATACTCAAGTAGAAATCTGTATTGCATTGATTCTCGCAAGCCCTCTTGAAAGCACAGAAAATGGCACAATTACAGATCAGGATTCTGCTGGTGACAATCTCTTACTGAAACATGTAAGTTGTGGTTTTTTGGGACTTTCTTGAATTTTCCTGTCTCCAAGGTATCGTAGCAGGTGTTCTTACATAAAATATACCCCAATTTTACTTTATGTATAGAAAGAACAGGAATGTTTTTCTGTTTTTTCTTAAAATGTTAATTCAGGGTGTTACACCTGAAAGTGGCACAGAGTAGATTTTTGCTGCCCCAAAGTGAATGGGTGTGCAGTGCTGCAAGTATTTATTTTCCTTGAAGGAAGTTCCTCTTACTTCTAAGAATTAAAATTACTATTTGGGGAGCTTTATGCTACTACAAGTCAGCAGCTATAGATAGAAGTAGAATTAATGTAGGTTTAGGTTTCTGGTTGGGATCTTACTGCTGTTTCTGAACTTTAAACCCTTTAATGAAAGTATTTCTCCTGAACCTGAAATTAGTTGTCTTGTAAGACTTTAGTATTTGTTAAAATCAACTGTAAAATGCATAGTTCCACTTTACTGCTACTAAGCATGTTTTGCTTTTTTGATAGCTCTTCCTTAAGTGCCAATTGATAGAACGAATACTTGAAGCATGGGAGATGAATGAGAAGAAACAGTGAGTAATTAGTTTTCTTATTACCTGAAATATCTACATAAGATTTGAATTGTGAACTGAATACATGACCAATTCATAACTGATCTTGCTAGTTCGAAAAACACTTGTATGTTAATACTTGAATTCAAGTTTTCTCTCATACTATTCTTTGGTAGCATTCTAATGTTTTTTCCCATGACCATTTGACAGTACAATAGTTTGTCATTCTTGCTATGTATAAGATACTACTATGATCTTTAAAGGCTACCCATCTTCCAAGTACAGAAAAATATACCATAAGTTTTGAGGACAGGAAATACTTTGCTCCAGTAAGCGATGGAAAATTATTTCTAAACACATCAAAACATATTACATATTGGGGAGCAACAGATACCTAAGGTTAAAGCCAAGTCCTTAGCAATGGAGTATCTTCTATGTGTTCGTGTAAGGACAGAAGTTTCAAGTAGCTAACACTGTCTAAAACTGTTCATAGCAGGAGAAAAAGCCCTCAGCCTTCACCTGACGTGGTAAAACAGAAAGGCTCTGAAGTTTGGCTCAGGAGGTACTGAAGAGTAAATGTTAGCTCTAACTTGTCAAAATACTGAATTAGCTGACTGGGAGATACAGTTGCTGGTTTCCTGGTGTATCTAAGACAGTTCTAGTCTCCAAAAATATTCCTGTTCCTAATTGGTGTGAATCAGATAGTAAGTATATGGCTAGTGTAATTGATCTAAAATAAGGATGTTGAAGTAGATAAAGAGGGTGATACAAAGAAAGGGAATGTGGTTTAATTCAACTGGAAAACATTTTCTCCCATTTGTATTGTATTCTCATGAGATTATAGAGAACTGCCAACTTTATCAGCAATTAGACTCATAGGAGAGAAGTAGAGAAAGTTATTTCCATAAATCCAACCTAAAATTATTCTTTGGTTGGATAGGAATGTTCTTGATCCAGTGCTTACCATATAGATTAAATATTTAGTTACCTGTTTGCAAATACAGGTGATGGAAAACCAAGTAGTGTGGTTTATGTTTGCATAACATAAGCTACTTCCTGAACTTCTATCACTTTACAAAGATTTCAGTCAAGCACACGGGAAGTTTATCTAGCCAATTAGGGGGTCTTCCTCAAATTTTTTATTTATTTTTTTTCTCTGTTTAAAAATCACAGAACCTTAAAAAGCTGATATGGCAAAGCAGCTAGATGTTAGAAATGCAGTCCAAGTCAGCTCTGATTTTAGCTCTTTAGTCAGATGTAGAATGGATCTAGCTGACCATAGCTACTCAAAGCACTACTCTAAAAACTGGTAATTCCTGTTTCTACAAAGCAGTTCATCCTGTCAAATAAAAAAATACTCTTAACTGTCTTGTAATTGTACCTTTCGTATGCATTTAAATGTCATTCCTAAACTTGAGGAAAGCAATGATCCTAACTCAAATTTCAGTTGGTTATACCATTCCTGCTCTGCATGTTAAATGTAACGCAAAGAAACTACAAAGTTAGAGCACACTTAGGATTTAAGAATTTTTTAACTTCTGGTCATCAACTCAAAGCTCTGAGAGAATGTTTGGTGTATTGGGGTTTTGAAAAATGCTCTCAGCAACAGAAGTTTCCTAAAAAATGTGGGTCATTTGTTAACTTTGTTTTTATTATGTCTTTTCTTTCTACATACACAAACACGAAAGCAGAAATAATCTGTTCAGATACTTTGCACTTCCTTCTTGGCAGTTTACATGCTTGTTAAGTCTTCTAAACTGGCTCAGTTAGATTCTTCAGTATTTTTGTGAACCTTTGGTTTTAGAATGAAACTGTTCTGCTTAAGAATCTCTATGCTATTTGTCTTGTGTAACTGCTAGACTCTGGTAGAGTGTTTTATAACAAAATATAGTGGCACAGTTGTCCTGGGTGTGAGGAGTTGAATTCCTTTTCATCTCTTGCAGGGCTGAAGGAGGAAGACGACATGGCTATATGGGTCATCTGACAAGGATAGCAAACTGTATTGTGCATAGTACAGATAAGGGGCCAAACAGTACGCTAGTCCAACAGCTCATTAAAGGTAACAGTACTATTCTTAAGTTTGTCTTCATGGCTTTCATTATCAAGTTTTGAGGAAACGAGTCAAATTAAAAGGCAGCTGCTGAGTAAATAAAGAAATTATTAGTTCTGACACAATTTAAAACCAGCCATCCTTAAGTCTTTTTTTTCTTTCTAACAGTACAAAACTCCCTAAAATAAATGCAAAGAGATGCTGATCTGCCTAATTTGGACTTGTTTGCTAGATGAAGTAATCCTTATGGATTTAGGAGGATGTACATGTTGTTTGTAGTGTTTCTGGTAGAGCAGAGGAGAACAATTGAAAATTAAGTGATGCTTTGTTGTCGATAGTATCAAATTGGGTTTTTTCTGTTTCCTGTGCTAGAGCTTCCAGAGGAGGTCAGAGAGCGATGGGAGACTTTCTGCACAAGCTCTTTAGGAGAAACTAACAAGAGGAATACAGTAGACCTGGTAAGCTGTGATGGGTAAGGTATACAAAATGCTGCTGTTAATTTGGGCCCCAGTTTCAACAAGTACATCTAGTTGCTGAACTGTGGAACTGGTAATTTTTTACTTTTCAACTAAAGCCATATCACTAGTATTTTGTTTAGGGAGTTTTGCAGTAGCTCAGTTTGTATAGCTTATCCCAGACAATCACCAAGAAGGAAGATTTATTTATAGCTTCAAGTTAGTGTCCTTGAAAGGTCCTGTCTGCTTGAAGAGTACAGACTAAAACTGCAGGAGCTGGTGTTAATTGCTTTATTTACAGTATGTAGATGAGCCTATGTAAGCTCAATGGGAATATAGTACCTGCATCCCACTGCAGGTGTTATTGACCTTGCTGAAGTCATGTATCTTTGCATACTTTTGTTGTGTACCTGTCATGTTTCTTTTGCAGTAGTAGAAAAAAAGCTAAACTTAAGTATGAAGAGGTTTTGTGCAATCATGTTAAACGTACAGTTTAAGAGTAATCACTTGGAGACTTTAATAAGCAAAGGCTCTTTGCAATGTCAGCAGAACAATTGAATTTTAATATACCTGACATCTCCAGGAATACAGTACTTTGCATGTGGCTTCATTAACTTGTGCTGGTGCTATATTAATTGGGCTATAAGACTGATAGCTTGTTGAATTTGCTATTTCAACATAGTGTAGCAACTGGAACATAATGCTAACATGATGTGTGTGGCAATAGGAAATTAGTCTGAAACCGTGCAACTTGTGGACAGGACCAAATGATCCACAGATGGTATTTTTTCCATGAGTCTGTGCATGCAAAGAAATTCATAGTGCTTCTAGAGTAATTTCCTCTTGTAGAAACTACTTCTTGATCAAGGCCAAGAGGAGAGTCATCTAGAGAGGCAGGGTTTTAACCTAGTTTATGATTAATAACATTGTAATTAGCTTTATATATATATAATAATTTACTTGCACGTACTTCATGTAGCAACAGTAAAACCTCATTTAAAACATACTTCCAAACTCCACAATATTCAGTTGAATAGAAATGCAAAGCATTAAAACAAATTCTTGTATCTAAAAATGCAATGCCATTGGGGTAAACACTGTGTCTTTGAATTTCTAAAGTTACAGGCTTTGTTTCTGCTTGTGTGATGATCTCACATGAACCTTGGATTAGTATTTAGTTCAAAGATAAGCAGTAAGGGGACAGTACAATGAGGTGTAGGAGATGCTAAAAGACAGATCTCATAGAAAATTAAGCTGCTTGTTTTACACCCATACAATAACAAATGACTCAGTATCTTAAAATCACAGCCCCACACTATTTCTTCCCAGTCATACTGTCCCCTATTATCCATGCTTTTGGTCTGTGTTTTGGTCTCCATGGACCTGTCGTCTCCATGTAATAAACGTGGACAATTTGGTATGTGTGAGTGTTTTACTTTCTTCTGTAAGTTGGTGGATGTGTCCTAGGTTAAAACAACAGCTTATCAGAACTGATGTTTATACCTGGTTTAAAGTGCAGATTTTCATTGTCCCAAGAGGAAGATCTTAAGCACACTTTTCTTAATGTTCTGTGGATTAGCTGCATATTTACTGCTGGGTAGATGAGTAAGCCTATTTACTTGGTTTAAGGTACTCTTCCCGAGCAAGCTGTTGAGCAGAATCTGGTCATGGGGGATATAGTTAAGCACACAGTTCCTAACCTGAATGACAGAACTGTGGTCTACTGCTATACTTGACCTTTTTCAGTCAAATTACTGGATTTACTAGGCTCAGATCTGATCTTTATGTGTATGCATACTCTTATGATATGAAGTTCATTAAGAATTATGTAAATAAGTTAGCTGTGTGAAGGCTATGGAAATAACAGATCTCGTGAGTACTTTCAATGCTTCAATTGTTTGGCACTGATCAAAGAGAGCTCTTCTACTATAACAGAACAACATATGTGGTCCTGGAGTCCCATTCATAGTGAACTACTTCTGCAGCTATGAGACTATTCTCTTTCAGTTGTTTTAAATCAGGAATGTTGATTCTAAAGCTATCAATGTTTTATCCATTTCATTCTCTTTCTCTCTATTTAGGCTTTTCTGTTCTTTTTCTTTTCTTCTTTTTACATTTTCTAAAACAACAGTAACTGCAGACTTAGCAAGAAACGAGCATGTAGCAGAACTGTCTCATTAAAGAATTAATTCCTGGAATTTTGCACTGGTCATTGTCACTCCTTCCCTGGCGTAATTCCGCCATTTATTTATTAGGGTAGAGTAATGCTAGTTTCTTCTCTCAGGCTTATGCTTCAATTAGAACAGGTGTCAGAAAACAAAAGTAGTAAGTAATTTCTTAGGGCTTATGTCCTGTTGATTCCCAAAGGAAGAGTCTGGGGGAGAAGATACTATGTCTAGCTAAGTCCTGAGCTTGTTTCTGTTACAGCAGTAAGAGTAGGATTTCTACTGGGAATTAACTCGTAGTAGTAACTAAAATTAAACAACTTTTTACTTGGTTTTGTGTATCTTTTCCCTCAACAAGTTGCAGTTGTAAAAGGAGTTGGTGTATTAACTTTTGTCCTCTCAAAATGTACCTACATAAGGGGGACAGTATCTAGGGCAGCTAAGGTTGTGGTATGGAATGTCATGTAATTACTTTGAAATGCAAGAATATTTTCATAAATATACACTGAGCACTAATGTTCGATGGACATGGTCCGTCATTTGGTATAACAGTTCTTCTCCAGACACAAGAAGCCCAGAGGTCATTTGGTGCAGTATTAGTATTTCCCAGGGTTTTAGTGTTGATAGGTCAAGTTTCCTTCAGAAATTCACTAACTTAAAGTCAGGGTGCTTCCAGTAATTGCAATGCAGAGCTGAATGGTAGATGTGCAAGAATAAAGCACTCTTAACTATTTGAGTAACAGTTCCACTAACAGAGGAAAAGGCATAAAACCACAATATATCTCGGGTAATAGCTTTCTACATTTGTCTCTTGCACATGTGTCTGGACTGTAGCATTGTCCTGTAATGTTTGTGGGAGCATAAAATTGTGTCTGTCTTGTATGATGACTTGTATGCGTTCCAGTACTCTTTTTTTATAGAATTGTATTTTCTTCAAAAAAAAATTATAAAAAGAATCTATGAACCATCTGACTTCACTTGAGAATCTGTAATGTAGATTTCTAGGAGTGTGTAGAATAATGCAGTATATTATAGTGCAGTATAAATTTTGTCATCTGTAGACTTGCTTTATAGTAGTGATCCGTTATAGAGTATGTCTTAAGGGTCAGCTGTCGCTGCTGTTAGTTTATAGCTAATTGGTCTCCCTGCTGAAAGTGCTTTTGGAGTGCTGTTCTCATTGAAGATAAGTACTTCCAAGAACATGTTGCTTATATAGCAGTGTCACTGAAAAGAATATTCCCGCTAGTTCTGTCAGATCTTAAAAAAAAAAAATCTCTTCTTTCAAGGATAATATTTAAAACAGCAGTTGCTGTGGCAACAACTCTGTTTCTGCAAGTACACCTTGGTTATATATTTCTTAAGTTTTAATTCTTTTACCATTTTACCAGTAAATACTGCAGATACCAAAGACAGTTTCTTGTGAATTCTTATACTTTATAAATAGGAAAGGAGGAAAACCTCTGTATATGGTCTAGTATTTTGGTGACAACTAGTTCACTTGTTCAATACATTTTGTGCAGTACAAAGACAAGATGCAAGTTTAGTATCATTTTGTTTTAGATAACTGTCAGCTGTAGGACTGGCTTTCTTGTTAAATAGTCATTCTGAAGTAGGTCAAAAGCTTTGGGTTTTTTGAGTACCTAATAGTCATGTGTGTGTTAATGCTATTGAAATATTTCGGGGACTTTTGTGGTGTGGCAGTTGGGAGAACTAAAAAAAAAAATTTAAAAATTCAGTTTTGATACAAAGATTTTGCCAGATAGTGTGAGTATACTTGAGTGGCTGTCATATACTAAGCAAATGACTAAATTTCTTTCTATAGGTTACTACCTGCCACATTCATTCTTCCAGTGATGATGAAATTGATTTTAAAGAAACTGGCTTCTCACAGGATTCTTCTTTGCAGCAGGTGAGTTGAATTCTTTTAACAATACAAATTTTTCTTTCTGTAAAAATAGGAAACTTTTAAAAAGCAGTGGAACTTGTATTTCTCTCACAAGCAAATACAAATCTTGAAAGTTTAAAATAAAACTTAGACACATGTGCATGCACACAACTGTATTTTCTCAAACCCAGAGGTATGGTTTTTAACACAGGTCAATTTCTTGGTGTGCCTTCCGGCTTTTAGTCTTTGATCATACTGTGTATGCAGATCTCTACTCACTATGCCTAAGAACACATGCTATATGCCGTCTGTCTGGCAAAGTAGAACACAGTAAGAACTAAAGTTCACATAAAAACTCTATGTAGAAGTTTGAAATGGTGGCTTCTAATTGTATTTTCTGGAAAGTGTGAATAGCTATGAAACCAAATACAGATTTCTGTTTGGGTTAGTTAATTTATTTTTTTATATATAATTTTGACAATTATTTTGAGGAAACAGGGAGGATTGGCTATTTGTTATTACATGCTTTTAGTTTTCTGCAAAATGTCAAACTCTAGCTGTCACAATGATACAAATGAAGAGCTAAGTATGCTCCTGTGACAGATTGTATCTAGCAGCTCTAATGTTTTTAACTTTACATAGACCCTTGATACCTGGCAAGGTAGCCAAATCTTCCTGAACTAAATTTCCAATGAACTTGATAACTTTATTTTTTAGATTCAGTATATGCTTTTAACAACTTATTTGTGAGTGTTTCGATATCACTTGGTTTCATGAAAAAGAAAATTAAGAATGCATAGGGAATTTTCAGATCAACCAGGCTGAAAGCTTTTAGTCAAAGCTATGTCCACCTTGAAGTTTTAATGCTTTCACAGCTGTCTCATTGATAATGATACAGTGTTTAATATGGTTATGGTGTTAGACTATTGTTGCAGTGAGTGATCATGGAGAACGTTGGTGCCATTCTGATGAAGAATGACAGCAGTTCTGTAATAATATTCTCCTATCTGCAATGCGCATCTCAGTTCTTTCGCTGGTGTTGAAAGTGGTAGACATGCAGCAAAAGACTGCTGATAGATCCCTTATATGGAACATACTGCTTTTCTGGGTCGTTCACCAAAATGTTTCTGCTCACAATAACAGCTATGTAGTAACTGCCTAGTCTAAGACTGGCATCAGTACTTTATGTATTTTCTATAGCTTTTATAATAAGTAATTGCTTACTGAGTTTGAATTGTGGGTGGTGGGTCAAGTTTTAAGAGTCTGATGTGTTATCTGATTCAGTGAGTTAGATGCATGTAGGATGCACCTGAATACAAACTTGGTAAGTTGGGTGCTATCTGTAGCAGCTCTAGTGAGAAAGTAAAATCTTCAAATGTCTCTGCACTTTCATGTATCCACTTAGTGACCTAGTGACCTACTGTGCCTAGGCAATCCCAGCAGTTCCAGGTAGTTAATCTGCACAAATTCATTGATGAAGGTGTCTCTGGCTTCAGCTAGAATACCCTATTCTAGACCAATAGTTAAAGGAGGAAACGGAAAGTATAATTCTGAAATTTGAGTGGGCACATTAGGAATTGAACATGAGAGGAAAATACTAAGGAACCTACTCATCTCTGGTTTATTTTTGTCAAATTTAATTTCTGCCTGTAGAATTTCATTTGCTATGACATTTCACATCCAAATCTGGTTCAATATTGTTTTCTTCTAATGAATATCCTTTATTCTAGAAGGGGAAGCCTTTTTCCTCCCTCCCCCCTCCTCCCCCTTTTCTCAGAAACACTTTTTATGTAAATTTCTGAATAACACTTCAAAACTGATGTTAGTGAAAAAGTGTTCCGTTACCTAGTTCTGGGTTGTAAGGTTTCTCATGCAAGCAGCATTTAACATGCTATCTTGCTGTGGCTCTGGAAACTTTTACTCCAGGATGGCTTTATTGTTGTGTTCTCCACCAGCTTAGTACCACATTTTGTCTTCAAAGTATCCTGAAAATATATTAGAGAATGGAATAGAACTGTCTAGGGTCTAAGATACACTAGCTATTTATAACTGCATTTTACATACTTCTTTTAGACAATTTTGATGTAGTGATAAGATGTTCTTAATGGTTGTACCTTCTGTAAAACAGAAAAAGTGTGTTTAATTTCTTTGGGCTTTTTCTTCCTGTGGAGGTAATCCACTAATGTCTTTCAGTGACATGTACTTTTTAATATCCATAATAGTGAAAATACTTTACAGGAAAGGAGAACTCAGTAACCAGAGTAAAGCAGAGCAGTTACTTTATAGGGAGGACAGTCAGTAATTGATTGTCTACCTATGTAATGTTGATATACTAATTGTGTTAGTATCAAATCCTGAAGTCTTTCAGAACTATCAGATTTTTAAATCTTAGGATCAAAATGTAACAGAGTTCTTGCTATGGCCTGACTTAGCATAATGACCCTGAACATTTTTCAGACCCAGTTCTGGTACTGTCTTGCTCAATACCTCGCCCTTCTATATCTCTGTTCTTTTTCCTCCAGTTTTCATAATGCCTTAATGCAAACTTGCTTTTTTGTGACCTTTCTATTGTTTTATTTCCATATTCACTTTGTTCAGCTTTACCACCTTTTTCAAAAGTTTTGCTGTATACTGTTGTTTCTTGGCTACCTGGGCAGGAAACCAAGAGAGTTGATGTGACAACAGTATTTCCTGGACTTTATACATGACAATAACACTATTAAAAATCCCTAGAGATTGTGTGATAATTTAACTATAGTCCTGGGAAATAAGGGACAAAACTATTGTTAAATATAGGAGAAAATGCTCAGATATGTATATACCCACCTGTTCACAGTTGACACTGGCATCTTTAAAAAAAAAAAAAGCCCAGTTGAGTCAGTGGCACTGCATCGAGATGTAAAATGTGCAATAGTTTCCTCCTAGATGTTGAATAGATGCTGCTGGTGTATGTGCCCGAGACTGATATTTCTAGTGATAACTACATGATAAATACGCAATTGTGCTTTAGGATTTATATATCTTGTACTTTTCTGGTTCTTACCATTCATAGCTTCATGCTGTTTTGAACAAAGAGCCTTTTCTTTTATCTAATACCTGGTGTCTTTTCCCTGTCTGGGGTGCATTTGGAAAGGTGCTAATTAGCACGTGGTTAAACTGGAGATTTCACTTCCTTACTGAGAGCTGCTATTAGACTGGCTTTCCAGTCAGTAAATGTAACTAGGTATGTACTTAGTGTTACCATTTAAAATTCAAAGGTAAAGGACAGGAAAAGGATTTGTCTTAATGGTTATATTAGAGAGACTTTTATTTCTATGGAGCAAAGTGGGCAAGTAGGATTTAGAGTATTATTAGAATCATTATATCACTGTCGTTGGTCCTGGGGTTGCCAGGCCTTTTCTGATTATCAGATGCAACAAATGACGTCCAATTTTATTGACCAGTTTGGCTTCAACGATGAGAAGTTTGCTGATCAAGATGACATCGGCAAGTGAGTATAACGTTACACTGGCTTTGACTATAGTCTCGGGAGTTTCTTATTGTGTATTTGGCTGTGGTTTCGCTGATGATAAATGCAAGCCTTTACTGATGTGAGGCAGTTGCCAGTCAGTCCTGTCTTTTTGTATTATCTGTGTGCATTGATAGAAGCCTCCTTGAACAGGTTAGAGGAGAGCAACAGCTTATCTTCCATTTCTGTTGTCGTGGTTGTGCCAACATGAGAACACAGTGCTTGTGGATAAATAACTATCTCTGCTTTTGAAAGCTATGTCTGTCCAATGACTTGGCGTTGTTGGGGGCACTTTCACTTTGTGCCTCAAAGTGATTATTTTTTTTTAGTTCTTTGCTGGATCTGTGTACCAGACCACATGAATAACACTACTTTTAAGTTTTCCTGGAAGAGATGAAGAGATGATAGGAACAGCACATCTGTGAGCGTAGGAGGCAGTAAGGAAAGGCATTGTAAATAGACCTTTTTTGTCAAGGTAGTTAAGACTCATTTCTACAAATAGGGTAAGTGATGAGGAAATAAGAACAGTCTTGGTCAGGTGAAAAAAAACAACCAAACAAAAAAATCCCAGCCGAAACAAAAAATGATCTCTTTCTTCAGTTCTAAGTAAACTTGATACCATGATGGGAAAGGGAAATAAGGGGGATTCTTGCTGAAAATAGACTTGTTCTTGATTTTTTTTTGGTAAGAATTCATGGCTTGGGATGCAAGTACATGCAGATAAGAGTAAAAAGCATTACTTGAAGGTGGTTTCTAGAAGGGTAAAACATGAGTGTGCCTCTGCAAAACATGTTTAGTAAGTGATGGTTGACTGAAGCATGTGCCATCTAAGAAGCATTGCTGCCTTTTTACACTACGTAACCTGCTGAGATGATAGATTAAGATATGATGGGAGAGGAAGTAATTTAGGATACTCTAACTAGAAGCAAATGGATTTTGGCCAGTATAGGAGTTGGAATTCCTTTAAGATCATGCCTTTGGTAGTGCATGGTCTTGGTGGAAAGAAGATGACTGCTTTTGTGAGCAAATCTCTTCAGAATTGTGATAGGTATACGGATGATATGAGTTGAATTAAGACATAGATAAAGTTAAAGTTATGCCTTTTGTACAAGAATAAATTACAGTTTAAATTGCCTACTTACTGTTCTACAATAATTCAGATGGTAACTTGCACAGTAAATCAATCACATTTAAAATTTGTGTTTCTGTAGACCACTTTTTTCCTTACTTTGTAATGCAGTGAGGATTAGAGGAAGAGTAGGACTTGCTCTGCTGAATGCATTGTTATATGTGGCTAGAGAAAAAAAATAGACTCTCTGAGTCTGGTAGTATTTCCCATCTTTTCCTTCTTTCTTTTTGCTTCCTCTAGAGATTTAGTTTGAGTAATGCTATTTTCAGTCTGATGTGTTTGTAATTACTTAGTGAAACTGCTCAGTAGCTTTATATCTGAAGATATGTAAAGCCTAATAAATATTTAGTGTTTGGTTTGGAAAAAAACTTCAGTAATCTGTTAAAAAAATAGAGATTATTTTTTTTTTTTAGGAAACAGAAATTGATACTACATCTTTCACTTTCTCTATTCTTGTTGAGAAGGTCCTTCTATAAAGTGGTGAAATCAGCTAGAAGGTGTAAGAATTGTGAACTTGGATCTTGTCAGAATTTTGAGCTGTATAATGTTAGTCCATAGTCAGATTAGGCATTCTTTAGGCCTACTTTTTTTTCCAGCACATAACAGTACATCATTTGAGATTTGCATATATTGTTTCAGTTATGCTGGCTTAGGCTTGTTGCATCTTCACAACTAACTATAGGGTAGAGATGACATTGTTTTGTATTTTTGTTTAAAAAGTTTCACAGAAAAATCACAGGAACGCCAAGCCTCATCAATGTGGAATTTGACTTTTATGTTAGAAGCTACTTTGTCTTTAGTCTTGTATTTTTAGATTATTGGAAAGTATGAAACCTAAGAGAAATGAAATGTCTTCATGTCAGAATACATCTTGTTTTATTGCATACATCTGCTTTTTTTTAGTGTTTCTTTTGATCGGGTCTCAGACATCAACTTTACCCTCAATACGAATGAAAGTGTAAGTAAATGTTCCTGTACTGTCAGAAGAATTACTCTTTTAAACTTTGGTGCAACCTTAGAGTTTTGGTAGTGGTGGTTATATCTACTCCTTTGATGTGTAATCTTTGGAAAATACTACCCTACCTTGTTCCTGTATAATGAGATTTTTCTAATTGGAAAAACTGTTGTTCTTTGTGATCAGTATTAAAAAGAACTGCTGCTAATTTGTATGGCCAGGTTCAAGAACATGCTCGGATCTGATTTGTGCATATTGCACACTTGTGTTTTATGGGTAGAAGCTATTTCAGTCACCCAGTGAGACTGTGGTGACAGAGAAGTAAGGACTAGGTATTATTTGTGGGTTGAGCTGAAATGAACCCTACTATAGAAAATAAAGCTGGAGTTCTTGGTGGTCTGGTTATCTGAAAAGCTCTTTAATGTCACTCCTGCATATCATTCCTAACCAGGGTGGAAACTCCTAGCTGTTCTTTGATGGTCCACTCGACTTGTTAGTAGCTGAGTAAAACAAGCACCACTGAGTATTTTCTTGGCAAGCTTTTAAGTTGTTAAGAAATTCTGGTTTTCTGCTGCTCTTAGAGAATTTTTTTTCTCCCCACTACTTTAAGATTCTCTTCATAGTAGTCATACACTTTCAAAATGTTTACTAATGCAAGTAGAATGATTAGTCATAAATACAGATTTTATACTTTTGGTGTATTTAGGGCAATATAGCCTTGTTTGAGGCATGCTGTAAGGAGCGGATACAGCAGTTTGATGATGGTGGCTCTGATGAAGAAGACATTTGGGAAGAAAAACATATTGCATTTACACCAGAGTCCCAGAGGCGTTCTAGGTAAGAAACGTGTTTTTCATCCAACAAGCAGTATAGTGAGCCCTCCATACTGAACATGTCTTTTGGTTCACACTGACTTAGCACAGGCGTAACTAGATATTTCTATTCTGTGGAGAAATGAGTAGGGGAATAGCTCTGGTGTCTTGTCTTCTAGCTGTAATTTGCAGAAGATGGCAACAGCTGCCCTGCCTACTCACCTCTTCATCTGCTTCAGCTTTTGTGGCTTCTTTTTTTTTTCTTGCTGTTTATTCTTTCCCTCTGCTTTTAAACCTGCTCAGCTATTCTTGCCTTGTACAAGGCGGTCTAGTTCCACATCTCTGTAGACCTTGCTGTCCTCTCTACAGTACCAATGTGGTTATGGACAAAGCTGCATAGGAAGCTGCATTGAGGGGAAGGAGCACCTGATCCCCAAAACTCTCAGGGCTGTGTAGCCTCTCTTGATATCTACTGAATTTTGACCCAGAGTAGTCCTGGCTTGTCTGACCTTCTTGTGGCTTGAATCACAAATGTGATCTCTTCTTCCATTGCAACATTTGAAATGCGTGTTGCTAATACCTTCTGTACAAAACCAATTGTTTTGCTGATGGTGTCGTGGTTACTTAATGTGATGTGTTTCAGTGACATCTTTACCTTCTCACCTTACCTTCCTTTTTGTGTTAGCTGTGCTCACTGGGAAGGGGGAGATGCCTGTAGGGTTTAAAACATGTCTGTATGTAAAGAGGATGGAATGGAATACAGTTGGGGAAATTTTAAAGTAGATTTGTTAAATCTGTTGTTAGATTTTAAAATAAATCAAGTTATATCTTATACAGATTGGTGTCGAACAAAGTTTTGTATTTCAGCACTTTTGTATAGTGTGAAGAGACCTAATAGACTAACAGTCTCTCTACACAGATCTCATTACTTACTTTCCTTTTCTCCTCCCTTTTGTGTGGCAGTAGTAAAACCAATTTTTGTCTTCTACTTGCAAGGTGGAGGAGGGCGAGAGAGGGAGAGAGCTGTTAGCCTCTTCACACAATCAAGTGAAAAACCTTAAACCTTGGTTTTTTGAGAGAGAAATGAGGGGAATGCTAACAACTATACCTCCAGTTAATTTCTCAGAAATGATAGCTATTGTAATTCTCTTTAGCCGCAAACTCTCCAGTATTTTATTGTGCCAAGGGGCTGATACTAAACATAGAATGTAAACTATCTCTTTGTATTTTTAAGTTCGGGCACACCTCCAGTTAATTTCTCAGAAATGAACTATCTCTTTGTATTTTTAAGTTCGGGCAGTACAGACAGTGAAGAAAGTACAGATTCTGAAGAAGAGGATGGAACAAAACAAGACTTGTTTGAATCGCACACCAATACAGAGGACAAAATGGAAGTAGACCTAAGTGAACGTACGTAGTTTTTCTCCCAGCTACTTTGAGTTACAGGAAAGTGTTAGATCTAGCAGTCTTACTTTGTAGGAGTTTTCCTCGTTTACCACTTCTTCCAACTATCTTAGTAAAATAGTCTTCCCCACTGTAACGACTGCTTGCAACAAAGCATGCAAGTGTAGGGAAGTTTGAGTTCCTTAGGTGTCTTGAGTCAAGTTATGTAGTATCTCTAAAATGGATGTTTCTAGTCTTCAATAGGAAAAGATGGAGGAGGAATCGGACGGGGAAGGATGAAATGTGATCAGTTACATCTTGAATGCCTGTAAAACTAATGGGTTGTCAATATCCAAACCTGAAATCTATTTTTACTGGAAGCCTTTCAGACCAACTCTTCATCTAACAATGCTCTTCTAAAAAAACTTCCTGTGAAGTGAATTTGCAGTAGTCTGGTTTCATGTGTGAATGGAAGATGCACATCAGTAGAATCTTATGGGGAAACTTAACTGATATAATTGGTTTAAATGTGTTCACGGTCCATTGCAGTAGACTAAACTGGCGTTAATTAAAATGGCGATATCTGTAGGTAAAAGCCCTGTGTTTATCTAGACTGTAAGGAATTAAATTAAAATAGAAGGAAAAGTTAAGGGTTTTCTTTTCTTTTGTCAGATTGGTGTCGTTGGCATCTGTGTGTCAAACAAGTTTTGATCCATGTGGGTCTCCTCCCATATCTGCCTGGGTTGGAATTTCTAATTGCTAGTCAGAGCTTCCTTTTCAGCCTGTTTTTTTGTATGTAAGTGTTAATGAAAAACATGTTTCCCTTGGGTAGGCGAAGTATTTTGAATTGACCTATCCTAAATTAGATGCTGTTAAGTCACAGTTGCTCCAAAATTTAAAATACCAATAAATATTTTCAGCTGTAAAAAGCCTCACACTTTTCTGAAACTTGGCAGTGGTGTTAGTGCATGAGAAATTTAGAGACTGCCCATACCTAAGTTGACATGCTCATTTTCTCTGTTCAGGAAAATGTGCATAGGGAACTGAAAAAGGGATGAAAACTTTTTTTTTTCATTATAGAAATTAGTTTTGAAATAACAAATGTTGGTGTTAGTTTAAAGAATAAAGTGGGACTATAGTTGTGATCTGGTATGGCTTATTGTTTTTGAACTTCAGATAAGCTGTATCAATCTCTACCAGAATACTCTTGAGTTACTGTTTTTAAAATTCTGTCTTACTGGCAGAATTTCCCTTCTAGAGAATGCATTCATTGTTTTGTGGTTTGTTTGTTTTTTTTACAGTATGTAGAGGATTCTTCTGCATGCGCTTTAAAGTCTAGTAAAGGATTTTGCTGACTTTCTTTTTAATGTACATATAGACAATGAGTGTGTTAGGCATATGCGCACTCATGTTCTTTATTTAAATTTGTTCCTAATGAACCTGTTGACGGTTTTTCAGCACCAAACTGGTCAGCTAACTTTGATGTACCCATGGAGACTGCACATGGTGCCAATTTGGATTCTGTTGGGTCTGATGTGTGGAGTACAGAAGAACCTATGCCAGCAAAAGAAACTGGCTGGGCATCCTTTTCAGAGTTCACATCCTCTTTGAGGTAAGAATGTTAGTGATTCAGGGCAGGTTCTTCATTACTGAATGTAATGGCAGCTGCTACTTGGCTTCCTTGGGGTGTCTATCTCCACAAGCCTGTGTTGGTAGTGTTTCGGTGGAATACAAGGTGTGTAGTATCTGAAGTGCCCCATGGGTTTATAACAGTATGTCTTTGTATGATCTAACTCGCAGCAGGCTTTTGTAGGATGGGTGGATCCTATTGTGTCATTGCTTTTGAGGGTATTTAAAGAATATTTGGGTCCTTCATTGCTGGTCTCAGACCAGAATTTGGGCTGTGATTATTTTTTTTTATTTTTATTTTTTAGTGTAGACTGAAAACCGATCAAGGGTTGGACATGGAACTGTTGAATATGGAGGTCATAAAACATCTATGATGGTTCTGGTTTATGGATGTTGTAAAACAAATAGGGTTTTATGGGGTTTTTTTTGTTGTGGGTTTGTTGGGTTGTTTTGTTGTGTTTTTTTTTTTAAACTTGCATGGCTATGCAGCTGAGATACCTAGTTTAAGCAGTTCTGTACTATTTTGAGAATGCCTGAGATACACAGAAGACTTCAGTTATTTTTTTAACTAGAGTTCAAGCCAAGAAAGGAAGGTGTTAGTACCTGATCATATAGGTACAAATTTTGAGTTGCCAAATGCTAGCAGTCAAGAACTGATCCCTTCTCCAATCAGAAGACTTCCTTTTATACAGCATGCCTATACAACATGCCTGTCTGGGCATTAAACAGCTCTGATATAAAAGTATCATACTTCTAATCATATTTTATACATAAAACAGTACGGTGTTTATGCTTAAGGCAGGTAAGTTGATAACAGAATTACAGATTTAGAAAATGAAGACTTGGAGTTGCTAGAAAAGACATTATTAATGGTGAGAAGAGTTTGAAGTGGCCAAATCTTGACTTTTGAGTGTTCCTTCAGAATGCAAAACTTGCAGCCATACTGTATATAGAAATTCAGTAGTCTGTAGTGGATAATGAGGACTGTGCGGGCAGTCTCAGCAGAGAACCATCTTTCAAATTGCAAAGAGTGCATCTAGAAAGTCAGTTAAAAATGTTGGAAACACTGCAAGGAGCCAGTGATACTTGTTTGCCTTACTTACCAGGGACATGTCCACTACTACTTGTAATCAAACCAAGTAAAACATTTAAAAATGAACCCACCACAAAATAGATACTCGGTCAGCACAGTTCTGGTAGATTTTTGCATCGCTAAGTTTCTATTTATCATGTCTTCCCAAGACTCCTACAGACAAGCTTGCTGTCATTCAGTTTCAGTAGAGTTCTAGGCCTCCAAGCTTTGATATAAGACTAAAAATACTATTATAAGAACACTCCATTCTGCTATTCAGAAATGTTTCTAAAGCTTTTTTACTTTGTTTGAAGCTCAAAAGATTCCTTAAGAAGTAATTCTCCTGTGGAAATGGAAACAAACGCAGATCCAGTTGACCCCTTGAGTGCAAATGTACCTGCTCTTGCAACACAGCTAGAGAGTAAGTACACAGCGTTCAGAAATGCAAACATTGATTTTAAGAGTTGTACCTGAGAAAGATCTCCCTGAACTTTAAAACTTAGGTTTCCAGAGACTTCTCGTCTGCCTCTGCTGCTGTTCTGCCAGATAATGAAAATGACTTGTCAAAGAATTCCTAAACTATTTAAAATAATCTATTTAAAACAGGAGCTAGTGTTACTGTTTCATGATTAACAGGCCTTTACAGAAACAGAAAAGGATTACAAAGAAGCTAAGTGTGTTCTGTTAGAGAATCTTCATCTGTGTTAGCACTTCGTTTCTGAGCTAACACCTGAGAAGAGTGGTAGTCTCTTCCTATGTGACTATAGGCCAGTATGCTCCCTGTGTTCAAATTTCCCCTTCCTGCTCGTTTCTTTCCAAGTTATCTTCACTATGCATGCACAAATTCTCTTCTGCATATATGAGCTGGTTAAAGGCCAAACACGTGCTAACTAGTTTTGTGTATATATCATTAACAGACAGAACAAGAAGCGCAGATGAGAAGTCCAGGGAGAATGGACTTCCCAAAGGCTTGTCTGTACTTGGAAATGTACTGTCAAACTTGTACTCTGTGAGCTTGTGTAAAGAATTTGACTATACATCACCATAGTCCTACTAAAGTCTTGTTCAGACAAACCTGTTGCAGTAACCATTGTCGATCTAAATCACTGAGTGGCTTGCAAAATAAAACTAAGCCATCTGTAAGAAGTACTTATGCTCTATATATGTGTATTGTGAGGGTTACAGAAAGGTTACTTTCTCTGCAAGGAAGAGTTTGAGACGTACACAAAACTGCAAAAATACCATTCTGGTCATATAGACTTGCTCGTGAAATGGAAACATAACCAGCCATGTACTAAATTACTTCTGTATATCTAGCTCCAGGAAGTGTTGCTATGGAGGCCAGTTCAGATGGAGAGGATGATGTAGAAAATACAGACAAGGTAACTGAAACAGTAATGAATGGCAGCATGAAGGAGACACTGAGCCTTACTGTAGATGCTAAGACTGAAACAGCTGTTTTCAAAAGGTGAGAATATCTGTTTGTTATCCTTCCCACCCTTGTAAAAGCACTGATGGTGGAATGCTACATGTCATCAAAAAGAGTTCTTTGCAAATGATAATTCCTGAGGTTTTAACTAGAAATATTCTTCAAAAGTAATTGTTTCAAAATTTTACTTCTGGTTAGTTGCTCTAAAATATAACTTTCCTTAATAATCTCCATTGATATTAAAACTTGATAGTGGAAGACTGACTCAATAACTTTTGATCCTGATGCACATTATTGTGCATTTTTTATGTACCATTATTCTTTTAAGATACAGTTAATAGCATGTCAAAGCTAAGCCTTTTAAATTTTTCATAGAACTTTTAGATTTGAATTGAAATTCCATCCCTCTCATCCAGGAGGATGGAGGACAGAAGTTGAAGGCCAGCTGATCACTGCTCTTGAGAGTAACTTATCAGACATTTGGGGTGATAACTGTTGGTGATATCCATGATTGTCAAATCTGTTCTGGACTACAGGTGCTACATAGAATTCTAGAACAACCAGAAGAACAAACTCCTTAATTTTGGTATCTTCTGATACGAAGTGTTTGATTCAGGAATAACTGTCTTAAGAGTATGATTATATTCCCTATTACATATATCAACAGTGTGATCCTTTTATGGGAATAAAACACCTTTCTGTTTCATCTACTTGATCTTGTCTACTAAGATCTTGTGCTCTTAGATTTAATGCTCAAGTGTTTTTTATTTAATATCAAATCTTTATGTAGGGAAACAGAGGGTACAAAGTTTCTGACATGCAAAAATAATTTTGCCTTTATTAATTGAAGCTGGTATGTTGCCTGCACGCACACCCCCCTTCCCCCCAATCTTGACAAATACGAACGTATTACTAGCATTTTGGCATGCAACCCTCTTCTAATTTCTTTAGAATAACTTCGTAATATCTGTCCCTATTCTAGTTTTAAATATTGAAAAGAAATTTTCCATATGTCTTGGAAGTTGCTCAAAAAAATCCCAGTCCGTTTCAGCAGAAAAAAACTTCCCTTGAAAGTGTTTCCTTGATGTGGGGCAGCCACAACTTCCCTGGGCAACCTGTCCCAGTGTCTCACCACCCTCACAGTAAAGAATTTCTCCCGAATATCTAATCTAAATCTGCCCTCTTTAAGTTTAAACCCATTACCCCTCATCCTATCACTACACTTCCTGATAAAGAGTCCCTCTCATAAGGTAGGGCTAGGGCCCCTTAAGGTATTGGCAGGTTGCTATATGGTCTCCCCAGAGCCTTCTCTTCTCCAGGCTGAACAATCCTAGCTCTCTGTCTGTCTGCATAGGAGAGGTGCTCCAGCCCTCTCATCTTTGTGGCCCTCCTCTGAACTTGCTCCAACAGGTCTTACATGGGGGGCCCAGATTTGGATGCAGTAGTCCAGATAGTCTCACAAGAATGTCCAGATGGAGACTCACAAGAATGGAGTAAAGGGGGAGAATCACCTCCCTCAACCTGCTGGCCCCATTTCTTTTGATGCAGTCCAGGATGTGGTTGGCAAGCACATATGCTGGCTCATGTTGAGGTTCGCACACACCAACACTCCCAAGCCCTTCACCTCAGGGCTGCTGTCAGTCCATTCTCTGCTCAGCCTGTATCTGTGCGTGGGACTGCCCCGACTCATGTGCAGGACCTTGCACTTGACATACGTAGCAGTTATTACATGGGGGGCCCAGATTTGGATGCAGTAGTCCAGATAGTCTCACAAGAATGTCCAGATGGAGACTCACAAGAATGGAGTAAAGGGGGAGAATCACCTCCCTCAACCTGCTGGCCCCATTTCTTTTGATGCAGTCCAGGATGTGGTTTGCAAGCAGATATGCTGGCTCATGTTGATGTTCGCACACACCAACACTCCCAAGCCCTTCACCTCAGGGCTGCTGTCAGTCCATTCTCTGCTCAGCCTGTATCTGTGCGTGGGACTGCCCCGACTCATGTGCAGGACCTTGCACTTGACATACGTAGCAGTTAATTTGTGGAAAGCAGCAAAAGACAAAAATGTGGTTTCTGAACTTAATTCAAAATGGAGGATGAGAAGGAAAGAAAAAGCAGAAGCAGAGACTCACCCTTTTTAAAAAACAAAAAAAAATAATGAGGCGGCCAGTTCTAATGGGGATGATAAGTATTTTATTTTGAACAAATACTAAGAGTATCAAGGCAAATGAGATGGGGAGATCAGATGGGGAAAAATGGGTCTTGATGAGAGATTACAATGCAAAAGAATATTTTTACAGCCTTTGTAGGTGTAAGGAGGCAGGGGAGGAAAGAGAAGGATTCATTGAAATTTAAAGGATCCGTTAAAAGGCGAACTCTAAGAATATGAAGAATAATCAGCAGATGAGAGTGGCTTTGAAGTGTTTCTGACTTCTTGCATAAATAGATTTGTTGCCACAGAGGTGTAAGATTGATGTTTGTTTCTATTTCAGAACTACCTTATAGCTGTTTCTTGCAGGTATATGGTCAAATTTGTGTTCTAGTGCACTGGTAATGATGTGATTGAGGTGGCAGAGGGTGGAATAGAGAGGCAGAAAAGCTTTAATTTAGAGGCAAAACACAAGTATTTGATAGCTAATGACTTGAGGCTGCCTAGTTACACGGTAATGTTTTATATACTGTGAGTGTACTGGTTTTTCTGTTTGATTTTTGTCTCTGAGAGGAAGATAGTTAAATAGATTCAGCTACAGTCTTTGTACTGCATAACCCATACACTGTATTTCATTGTAGAGTTATTTAGGAGTTTAATAAAGACAGTGATGAGTTAATGATTCTGCTGATATGTTTCATGGACAGGCTTTATTTATGCCAATTTCTGAGGGAATCTTGAATTTCTTTTATACTTTCTTCCTTCCATTTTTGCATACTTCTGGCTTCAGAGTGTTGAAATCCTATCGGTATGTATAGTAAAGGATCATGACTGTGATTGTTACCACTTCAGGCATTTCACACATTCCTTATTTCTTTTCTGATCTTATTTGTAATCACTGTATTTCCTGCCCTCTTATCCAGTCAAATTTTAATGAATGTAAACACTGGTGCATTATTAGGTGTTTGCAAAGTCTAGAGCCATGTGCTTGATCTTCATGTTGCAATTGTAACTTAAAATCCATTTGCATGTGAAATATGGACCCATCTCCCAGTTTTCTCCTGTTGCCTGAAATTTACCCTATAAGTAAAATTCAAAACTAAATAACTTCTTTCTTTTGTTTTTTTTAAGTGAGGAAGGAAAATTGTCTACCTCGCAGGATGCTTCTTGTAAATATGTAGTAGAAGAGAACACAGAGGTTGCAGAAGAGGCTCCTTCAGCTCTGCAGCCTACTAACAGCAGTCCTGAACAGAGGTAACTGCAATCAAGGATGCTTTCAGTCCTCTAAATAGCAGTTTGCATGTTATTCTAATAGGATTGATCTATAAAGATTAATGAATTCCTGTTAATTATCAGCTTTGAGTTTAGCATAATCTAAACACGTGCTTGCATCTATTTTATAAAATTCTTACAAGTTGCATTTCTTGTTAAGACTCTTGAGTTGTCAAAAATACATTTGCCTTGTACTACTTGTCTTGCAGGCTATTGTAAATATCCCCATTCTGTTTTGTGATATCAAGTTAGAATAGTGAATGATTTAAAAAAAATGTTAGGGGAATAAGTTTGACTTTATCCTGGAAATTTACCTAAGTTAGGTCTACCTTTTTTTTTATTCCGTATTCTATACTGCAGAACGGTTTGGGGGGAGTCCAGTAGTGCAGTTGTATGGAAAGGAAATGGTGCCTTAAGTCATGCTTGTTTGATTTTGAATTGGTTATTATTTGCACCCAGGTATTAATCTGAATGCTTGCAGATTTGGAGAAGATTTTTCAAAGTGCATAAATAATTTGTTTCAAATAAAACTTGCCTGAAATATGGAGCAGCCTGGATTGCTCAGCATACTTATTGGAGGAAAGAAAAGAAGACATTTTTCTTTGGCAGCTTGGCTACTACTGCAGTCTTGGAGAATAGTAATTCAAGATACAATTCTGAGGGGACCACCACCAAACAGAGAAAGCTGCTCTTGCCTCTTGCATAAATTTGTTTCTCTTAAATTGTCAGGTAGTACTGATTTCTCAAAAAAAAAAAAAGGCATTTGACAGTATTTCTTATGCTTCATTTCCTGTTGAAGTACTTATTTGGGGTTTTTTTTGCCTCCCAAGTTACAATGGTATGGAAACGTACACAAGCAACATGAGTCTAGTATGGCTTCACCAAAATCATTGGTGACATTGATCACCAAATGTTAGAAATGCTTAATGCAGATATTTCGTATCTGAGCTGGTTTCTAGACTTCTGTCACAGCAGGATTCATCTTTATCATAAAAGCCTAAAACAATCAAGAGTTTAAAGTAGGTCAGAAGATTTCTGTCCTTGAAGGGAGTATTGAGTTGAGACCTTGCTCTGGAACTTAAGTATTCATAAATATTTTAAAATTGGTATCTAGGAAAGGCTTTACTGGTTTCCTAGCAGAATAAATGGATTGTTAAACATCAGGTACAATCCATCTTGATTCTCAATGTAAAAGCAAAGGGTAGTATGTTGCCCTTTCTTATTTTAGATGTAATTCAAAGTTGCCCAGAGGAACTGTGCTGTCTCAAAGAAAACCCTTGTAACAGGAAAATCTAAATTTGTAATTACTAAACCCTGAGTAATCCATGGGATCTCCTCCTCTTCCTCCAGTGCAGGGCTGGGGAGTCAGAGCTGTGCATGCTGCCTTCTTGTTGGGGAGTTGAGGGTGTTCTGAATTGGGAGCATTTTCTGAAGGGAGAGAGGATTTTGCTTAATTAAAAGTAATTCCAGGAGTCACTTCTGCCTTGTATAAGCAGGGTATGATTCTGAAAATCAGAGTTATATGTATGGTCACATGTATTTTTCTGAATCTGTATTTATCTAGGTGCTTTAACAGTTTAAAAGCTGTTGTGTTTCTTGACTTCCATAGGTTTTGAACTATTATTAAAGAAACATATTTCTCACACAAATCCAGTGAAAGAAGTAATCACTTCTAAGACTTTGGACATTCTTATATATCTTGTTTTGTAGTAAAGACAAAATTGAAATGCTTTGGTTAGCAAAGATTTAGAGTATAGCTCTAGATGCACCACAGAACTCTACTGCATGTTCTGATTATACTGTATGAAGGCTAAGAAAGATGCAAGCATGTTTGACAAATTTAGATTCTATTTTTTAGAGCTGTTTATGAGCTAGAATGTCTTACCTCTATGGTACTGAGTGTTACATTCAAACACTGCTGCCTTTCCTGTAAACCAGAACTTTATACTCTGCATAAATTCCAGAAATTTAATCAAGAAGTGGATTCTAAAAAAAAAAAACCAAAACCAACTGTGTATATTACGTTAAAGTGGGAAACACAGAAAGTGTCTTTCACAGCCTCTTCTTTTTTGGAGGTACTGTTTTTATCAAGACAACATTTCTAGTGCTGATAAGCATAAATTGTGGGGAAGAAGTCTTTGGATACTAGGTTTGCCTTTTGAGTATAGATGTCTGTCTGAACCAACAGAGGGCTCTCAGAGCTAGCAGTTTGGAGTGCTTTTCAGTTGCAGGAAGTCTCGAGGAACCCCTTTCTTTGAATCCAGCTGGCTTCATTGAGGCTCAGTACTTTCTCTAAAGGTGACTGTCACAGCAGATCCTCATATAAGCGCAGTATAAATGTCAAGATAAACCTAATTGTGCTTTTGGGGCTCCATGCATGTATGACTAGTGGGAGGAGTCCCCTAGGTAGGTCTTTGGCTGGTGGCCAGCAGTAGTAATCTGCTAGGAGCCCTGTTCTGTCATGGACTTTTTCTCCAGTTAACAAGTGACTTACTGCTGTGTGGACTGTCAGACTGATCATTCCTGTCCATGCAAGCACTTGTTTCTTACCTTCCAGGTTTCTTTAACGAAAGTGTTTACTTTTGTCTAGTGCTGTCTGTCTTTTTTCTAATATGTACATATTTTTTTAAAAAGTGTTTTTATAGCTTAGCAGCCAAAGACTTAGCTAGGGGACTCCTGCTGGTCATGTGCATGTAGAGCACGGACCCAAGAGTGGCTTCTCTGTGATGTACACCATCAGAGAACAGGAGTTACAGGTAACTTTTCTCATATGTAGTTCCAAGTGGTATTTATATTCTTTAAGGAAAACTTCGAATGTATTCAGTAGATTTGCACTGATTGGAAGTTGAGATTTTTGCCTCTTTTGCTTGCAGTTCTTAATGTTCTCATGCACTACTGATTTGATCCTTTTATTTGTGTTAGTCCAGAGCAATTGAGCCCCCATTTATACTGAACTTCTTATCTAGAAATGCGTATACTGTCATTGTTTCCACTTTTGCAGGTTTGCTCCTTATTTTCGTCCTTACTTCCTGATATTTTCATGCTAATGGACTGACATTCAAAGTATTTGTGAAGTGACAGTTTGTAGATTAGATTAGCAACTAAAGCAGGTTGTTTGTTGTTTGGGTTTTTTTTTTAAGATACTGTTGTTTTTCCTGTTGTGTCTTAGTGGCTCACTTTCAAATGCAACCTTAAATACTCTGGTATTTACCACTTTGCCTTGTGATAAGATTTGGAGAAGTATCAGAAAGGTGCTTTTTATTAGTGATTCTCTTGGGGAGATAGTGCATCTCTGGAGATCACTTAGTACCTCAGTTAATAAAGATCAAACACTCTTGAATGGTGTGCTCAGTTAATTAAAGTGCTGTGCTTAATTAGGCAATAAGGACTCCAGAAATGCTGGACTCCAGAAAATAAATGGGATGAGCTTGTTATTAGCTAGCACTTCTTCTCTTCAACTACACATGCTACACATGATCTGGGGTTGTCGGTTTTGGGGTTGGATGTGTGTGGTGGGATTTTTTTGGTTTGGTGGCTGGTTTTGGGATCTTTTGATTCCCAAATTTGATTTGGACAAGTGTTTCTTGTATACTTACATCTTTTTTTGGCCTCTTAGGACTGATCAACACACCCATTTAGGAGAGGCGTCTGTTAATGGCCCTGTATGATGTGTGATGTCTACTGCCTTGGCTGAAGAAAATGAACTGATATATCCAGGTGTTCGAGTGTTTCTTGAGGATTTCATCTAGACCCTGTTGAAGCCAGTCACTGCTGCACTAATTTCGCAAGGGATCAGGACCAGCAACATTTATATTCTAGATTTTAAGACATTGTACAGAAATTCATAAGTGTAAAAATATTGCACATTGAGAAATACCAATAATTTTTGCGTATGTTTATATTGTATTGTTCTAAATAATGGGTGGCCTGTGAAATAAGATCCTGCTACCCATGTAATGATGACAGTAGTGTTACTATAGTTAAAATGGCTGTAAGAATAGTTTTATAAAAAAGTGAATACACAAATCTAATGTATTTGAGACATAACTATTTGACTATTAGTGTGACCAAAGTATTTAGCAGTTTTCATACATTTTTCACCTTGTAAAAAGAGAAGAAAAAAAATGAATTCATGTTTCTTCTGAAACTGAAATGCCCTATAAATGTTATTTTGGTTGTTTTAGCTTACAAAAAGTGATTTAAATAAGAATTTTTTGGTGTTCAGCATTTTACAACAGGTTTTTAAATTGGTAATTGTTTTCTGTATTGTTTAAAACAGATCAAAAATGTAAGTCTATTGGTAGAGATTTTAAGTATTTATTGCTACAACTTAGTTGACAAATTGATGTTACTGTAAAGCCATATGTTCTGTTAAGTCTTGTTTGCTTGAAACAATACCTTACAGGTGAAACACTAGAATATTTGAAGTGCACATGGCTTGTTGTGTTTAAGTGATTCACCTGCCTTTTAACCCATTCACCAAGATTTAGTTTAATACCAAGCATTATACAATGGAACATTTCAGAACAATCTGCGTATTTTAAACGCTATAATCCTTAGACAAGTCAAGTAAATGAAATGCCTGTGCTGCTAATATGATTACAGTACATGCATTTTAAAAGTATATAGTGTTTTTAATACAAATTTTGGCAGCAGAGCATGTTGATTGTTACTTTCACTGTACTGATCTGTGTGAGGCTTTCATTTGTATGTTCTAAACCAGTTTTTTCACAGCTGGTTTGTGTATATATAGTGATTATGAAAACTAATTCTGTGTAATTTATAATTTTCTATGTCAGTGTAAAATTCCAACAGCCTTCTCAAACAAACAGAAGCAATATACTGTATATTGCCACATTGTCTGGTGAAAGGGTTAAAGTACTTCACCTCCTGCACTTTTAGATGCAAATCCATTTTTGTTTCTGTAATAGTTATATTCATTTATTTTTTACATCATTTGTTTTCCTGACCAGTATTTAAAGCCAAAAGGATACTCTAAACAATGGCCAATGTTTTATTTTAGAAGGCATCCCAAGCAACGTGCCTAAACATTACATTGCATACAGAAATAAAAAAACAAACACATATGTATAATGGCATTACCCTTATTGCTTCCTCTCTTGCATTTTCTGCAGCAAATTTCAGTGGCAGTTGTCGTTGCGAACTGTGACAAACTGATCGGTTGTGTGAAAATGGTGGGGGGGAAAAAACAAGTAGCATTGGTGAAATCGGTAACTATGGTTGCTCTTTATACATAATATACATATATAAAAAGAATATTTACCTTATAAATAATGGAATCCAGTCATTTTCTAAGTTGTTTCTTCTTCAGTTCAGAATTACTTCTAGATCAGCTTGACCAAAAATGTTTTGTATATTAGCTTTAAGGTTGGCAGCTGTCTTTTTATCACTTTCTGATCTGTTACTGAACAAGCAGTTTCGGAAACAAAACCATGCACTTCAACACAGGAATTGCAATCCGAGTAGAAAATCCAAATACAAGAGGGCAGTGTGTTGGCTTACATAATTTTGATGCTTATAAGAAATAAAACTTTTGTCCTTTCCAGTGGAGCTATTTGTCCCTTGCTAACAAATTGAATTAACATGCTACATAACCATGAAAAGTGAAGGAAATAGAGATAGCAAATTAGTTGAAACTGTGTTTCTGCCCTGTTGCCTGCAGTTCAGCAGTCTTCTAGTATGCTTGTCCTTCCTTCTGGTAATGAACTGTCGGTATCAGTCCAGTGTCCCGTTCATACTAAGCTCAGAATTGAAAAAGGAAAGTGTTTTGTCCCTCTTCTCTGTGTTCCTGAGAGATAATATCAATTGAGTGGAGGTGTGAGAAGTGGTGGTGAGTGAAATTGACCCTTCAGTGTGGTTTGCCTTCTAATTAAAGGTTGTTTTACCTGATGCTGATTCCAGTGGTATTGAGGAGTTTTACCTTACTATTGCATTTAGTGTTGGTTTTAACAGCTTGTGTGGGAAATGAGTTAAACCTGGGATTTAACCTAGATTGGAGGTAGTGTGAACTTGTTCTGAGGCGGCGTAGGGTGTGTTTTATCCACTGTTACTTGTGTGAGGAATCCTCAACTTAAAGGGAAAGCTTTGGAGTTGTGTTTTCAGGAGGGTGCATGGTGGTGTGTGCACGTACACACGCACACACCCACACACACACCCCTTTTGCTGTCTTCTACCAATGCTTTATGCTGCTCACATAGGCTTACGAAGGTCTGAACGTACTTGAAGAGTTCTTCTGAATGCCTGTGTTACCTAGCCTATTTAATTAAGTTTGACTTGTATGCAATGGACTTTGAGTCGCCTTTATTAAAAGGTACTTTAATGCATTTGTGAGATGGACTAAAGTCTAAAAGCTTTGTACAGATTTGACAGTGTATTTAGCAGCAGTTAGAATGAAATGCGCTTGGTTTGAATGGCTCGTCCTGCTACATGCTTTGCTACGTTTCACAATGCTCCTTGAAATGGCTGGAGACTCAGTCACTTGAAACTGAGGAATAGTGGTCAGTGGATATCAAAGGGCAATGGTTTTAAGCCTCAGGACTTCTCTGGTAAAGGATTTCTACTAGAGCAAGAGTGTGTTGCAGAAGGGCTACACTGGCAATCTGTGCAATAGCTCATTGCCTCTTCAAACTCTGTTACCTGCCAGAGTGGATGAATCATGCCTTCTTGACCAGTTAAACCATTTTTTTAAGTGTAAGCTTACATATTTTATAGCAAGATTATTCCATTTAAGTCGAAGTGTAAGATGTCATCTTGACTAACATTTATTATTAAGCAAGCATTCCTCTTGTTCAGTGAGTTGACAAGTTGTCCCTAAAACAACAGGAAAGTAGAAACAATCTCATTGTAAGCACAGCCCAGTGTGACCACGCTCTGGGGTGAAACCTGCCTTCTTGCCTCTGTTCAGCCTCGTATCTACCTCTTGAAAGCAGTGGGGTGTGTACTGCCATCTGCATACTCCTGTGGAAACTTACTGTGACACATTCCTTGTCTGAAACCCACTGAGGAGTTGGAAAAACTTGTGAGGAAGATGAATCAGGTTGTTGCTACCATTCGTTATAAAGTAATCTTCCTGTTCAAATTAGCTCTAATCTCCTTGGAGATAGTTTTGTTTTCTGATGTGTCTTACACAGTATTTATTGTATATAACTGATGGCTGTATTAATATACTTAAGCAATCACTTCTGACTTTCTTCAGTGTAGGATGAGTGCTTCAGTTTTCATTATAAAAGTGTCTGTGGTGTTTCCCAAACCAGGATGGGAAATGGAAATCAAGCAGCAGCAGAAAGCCTTTTTTTCTTCTAAGTTTTTAACTTCTGTCTCCTAGTTTCTTACTTCCTAACAGGTAAGGATTTGGCATCCTTCTGCTCCATTATTGTTTGAATATGTCAGGTTACAGCATGGAGAGGAAGACTAAGGCAATAAAATTAAAATAAAAAATACTCTTAGCATAAAAATAGTCATCTTAACATAGAATCATAGAATGGTTAGAGTTAGAAGGGACCTTAGAGATCATCTAGTTCCAACCCCCCTGCCATGACCAGGGACACCTCCATTAGAGCAGGCTGCTCAAAGCCCCATCCAGCCTGGCCTTAAACACTTCCAGGGATGGGGCATCCACAACTTCTCTGGTCAGCCTGTGCCAGTGTCTCGCCACCCTCACAGCAAAGAATTTCTTCCTAATATCTCATCTAAATCTCCCCTCTTCCAGTTTAAAACCATTACCCCTTATTCTGTCACTACACTTCCTGACAAAGAGTCCCTCTCTGGCTCTCCTGTAGGCTCCAGATATTGGTAGGCTGCAATGAGGTCTCCCTGGAGCCTTCTCTTCTCCGGGGTGAATAACCCCAGCTCTGTTTGTCTTCGTAGGAGAGGTACTCGTCCCTCTGATCTTCATGGCCCTCTGCTGGACCCGTTCCAACAGATCTATGTCCTTCCTGTGTTGAGGACTCCAAATCTGGACACAGTACTCCACATGGGGTCTCATGAGCACATAGTAGAGGGGCAAATCACCTCCCGTGACCTGCTGGCCACACTTCTCTTGATGCAGCCCAGGAAGCAGTTGGCTTTCTGTGCCACCAGTGCAGATTGTCAGCTCATGTTGAGCTTCTCATTCACCAACACCCCCAAGTCCTCAGGGCTACTCTCTAGCCATTCTCCACCCAACCTGTATTTGTGCCTGGGGTTGCCATGTCCCAGGTGCAGGACCCTGCACTTGGCCTGGTTGCCCTTCATGTGGTTTGCCCGAGCCCACCTCTCAAGCCTGTCCAGGTCCCTCTGGATGGCATCCCTTCCCTCCATTGCATTGACTATTGCCACCGAGCTTGGTGTCATCGGCAAACTGCATGTAACAAAGTCATGTTTGAAAGGGTAATTAGTACATTTTTAGGACTCTTTTTGAGACTGTTGTAGCATCCAACCATATATATCATCAAGGTATTCCACGGGCTCTTACAAATAAGAGCTGTAGAGCTTCATACAGCCTCTGGACTCTATTTGCTCCACCTTTGATCCAGACTAGTATGTCTGTGCTTGAATACTGCTGCCATTGACAATCTTCACAGTACGTTCTCAAACAAAAAAGCTTTCTTGACCTCGTAGTGGAAAGGGTAATAGGGCAAGAATGATGGTTTTTTTGTTTTATAAACGGTGTATGGTTTTGATGTGCACTACAAACATCTAAGAATATTTCAGAAACTTAAGCATAAGCTGACTTGTATTTATTAGGTCTTCAGCTTACTGAATATATGTGTAAGGATCACTCACTGCTTTGCTGCTGCAGTAGCAGCTTCTATAGCTGCTGTGGATGGAATTGATGAAACACTGCAATATCACTGCACGTATAGCACTTGAACTTTGAAACAAACTGCTCTCACTCTCAAGAAGTGAAGGAGAGAGTAGAATCTATGCCAATACTGTCCAATACTCTTCGTTATAAAAGACTTGTATCCTTCTATAGGGATAAGAGCTATATCGGGATAATTTTGTGCAGAACTTAAGGATAAGGAACAGAGATAAGGTGCTTTTTTTCTGCATTCAAAAGACAGTCACAAATAGGGTGACAGGATCCCAGCTTTGAGTTACTTTCACAGTCCAAGTAGCTCTTGCTTTCTATGCATTAAGAATCCCAGCAGTGTTGTATTTGGCATTCTTTCACCTGATGTCTCATGGAAGATTTCCCAGAACTAAGTTTTGTGATTGTGCAAAGGTGGAATGAACTGTTACAAGAGCTGCAAAAACCACATACTCAAAACATAGGTACATATGAAGGAAATGTTCCTTTTTCATATATGTTAGAAGCTAAACAGAGATGAAGGCTGATAGATAAAAGTATGTCTAAAGTTGAAAGATGTGTAACAAAGACTGGAATTTCACTTTATTCGTATTGCTGTTGCTTTGAATCCACTAATTTGCCTCTGGTGAGCGGTAGTGTTACTAATTGACAGTTTTCAATAGATCTGGATAAAGTAACTTGCTAGCAGAAATCAAAAAAAGCACACCAGTTTAGTCATGTAGTTTGTAATTGATTGGCTAAAATTCAGAAGTGGCATATATTATATAAATCAAGGTATTAAATCTAACTGAAATAACAAAAGCTGTTCTTAACCAATATCTGAAGAGTTAAATGATGCAGAAAAAAGGTTTTACATCTTAAGTCTTCAGCTTGCTAATTACTCCTACAAGTGCAGTGCCTTACATCTGAAATCAGATTTTTACAGAAGCAAAAATTAATCACATCTATGGTATGACGCATCACGCTTATGTACCTTTTTCTCAGCACAAAGTTTACTACAGTTTTTCAATTGTTTTGTCTGCCACAATGAGGAGCTATTTCGGAACTGCTTAGTTATTTCTAGTGGTAATGTGAAATAGAAGTAACTTCTAAGTACCGATTGGGAATCCTGTAGCAACGCAAAACTCATCTGCTGCTAAGCTTTTAGACTCAAACTTCTTGTAGCTTGTTTCCCTAGGTGTTGGTTGGTTTGGTTTTTTGTTTTGGTTTTTTTTCTTTTCACACCCTCTAAGCCACTTAACTATGCTAGATCAGCTTGAACATTGGGTCTGTCACGTTATGTGAATAGCTCCATTTAACTTAGTGATATACAGCATAATTCCAGATCATCTATGCTTAAGTTCTTATTCTATTTTGCCTCCCTTCCCTTGCCTACTTCTTGACAACTGACTGGCAAAATGGTAGAAATCCAAATAGGACGTATTTTTCCTCTCTAAGACACTGAAGCCTTCCTCTTTAAGGAGAAAAAAGGAGCCTGTTCTGCTACAAGAGGAGTAAGAACTGACATCTGGGCAGTGAGAGGAGGCTTGCTTGAGATCTGATGCTCAAGATGAAGCAGAACACTTAAGGGGTGGCAAAGTCCCCAGATTTGCACCCCCTATGGCTGTCAGTGCTCAGCATGAGTCTCAAGTTGCAGAGTCCTCATGCCCTGCAGAGGCTGGGGATCGGTGAAGTTCCATATCTCCCTTTGGTAGTAGCAAACACTTCAAAACCTTCTGAGTTGCACAGCCAAGTTGGGTTGTAACCAGAAGGGA